ACTTCAGCTGATCATCAACAGACAAATTACACTTTGGCAGGTTATCTGCTCAATAAATTACACCTGTGTAGCTGTGGTGTGGGTGCTCATGCCACAGGATGGGATGCGGTTTGGATAGGCAGCAGGGAGTCCCAAAGACACAGTTTTCTTGGTCTCGGGATGTGCATCATTGCAGCAGAGAGGTGAATTGCTGACACCAAACTTCCCACAACCTCCTCTCTAACAGCAGATGTTTCCCCACACACCCTACTCTGCAGTAGGACTGGAGAGCAAAGGAAGGTATTGAGCCTTGCAAGAGATATGGCCTACTTACCACCCTTTGGATCCCATTTTAATATCTGCAGTGTTGTTAATAGCTGTGATTCTTCCACTTGCCTCTTCCTCATACTTCATCCTTTAACAGCTGATGCTGCATTCATACTTTCAAAACTCATGACCACATCTACCACCAGAAAAATTGGTCTGCTTTAGTTGTTGATTCCATCTTGAGAGGTTCATTTCACCTTTAAAATCTGTTACAGCTGAGAGCCCCTGATGCACAGGAGGAGGTGATTGCTACAGCACCACATCCTTCCCGCCCAGCAGGGCAGAGAACCAAACAAGCAGGGCTGGGTTCCCTATGCAATAAGCATATCCAGGTTCCTGTAAATGATAATCACGCAGATCTTTGCTTTATTTCCTTCCAAGCTAAAACCATTGATTCACCAAAGATTGATGCTGTGGACAGAGAATCTTCTGTGAGCTTGACTGACCCCCCTCTGGCTAACAAGTTCAACAGCACAGTGTCTCCTGCAAAGACCAAACAGGCACGGCTCCCAGCAAATGAGGGTGAGCTCTTTTCTGAATGCGTAAGTAAGAACAGCAGGAAGGAAAGTGTGGGCAGCACTTCAAGGTTACTCAGCTATTTTCAGTGGTGGAAGAGTACCTGAAGATTTCTGAAGAACTTCCATGTGTACCACTGAGTGCCTTTACCCAACATGCTGAGGAGCTTCCCTTGGCGAGCACTTCAGTGATACAGGCTTAACCTGGAGGTATAGCCACCAACTGTTTAGATGCAAAAATTATCTGTGGCTGGGGAACACCAAGAGACAATAAAGTTTCCTTTTCCTTTTTGGGTCCCATACAAAAGGGATTTGTGGTTACAGTGAAGCCTCATGAGGAATCTGGACCCCTGGTCCACCTGGAAGCTGCTAATCAGAGTCTTTCTGCTTCTTCCACTAGATCCATCCCACAACCACTCCAAGAAACATGGAAATCGGGGTAAAAACACTGGAGGCAGGCTTGCAGGTAGGTCCAGGGATCAGCCAGAGAAGGAAGGGACCAGGCAGATCAAGGTTCATCAGTGGCTCTGTCCTTCCCATTGTAATAGAGATACGTTTCCTTGGGGTGCCTACTGAGGATGCTTAATAGCAAATGAGGGCAGAAAATTACCTGTCAGAAAGACTCTTTTTAAAATCTCCACAGGCCTGTGACAAAAAAAAGAAAAAGTAAAAGCATGAAAATCAAGACAGCTGCTAGCACTACTGCTTTCCCCCAGCCCTTCTTATTTTGTGTCAGAAATCTGCAGACTGGAGAACATGAGGTATCATTGTCTTCATAGCATGAAATAAAAACTTTTGTGGCCACTTTTAATAGAAGGATGCTGTGCAGTGTAAAAGCAGCTGTAAGATGTTGATGTTGTAGACAAAGCACTTTTCCTGTTATCTGGCATTTTTCAGGACATTAGAGGTCATTTCTGTGGTAATTGCATAAGAACAGGGATATGTACAGCAAACACGTGATGCGTTCTCTGATACCCTTTCAGGCACAAACTGGAAGACAGCCATGCTGGTCCTCAGCCCCTTGGCATTCATACTGGGATTAATAATACTGACCCTCAATGTTCACTACAACAAGTAAGTGAGAGTCAGGTTCATTGGCTTTGCCATGAACAGCATCTTAAAGAAAAACTCCAACAACTCAAAACGAAAGTCTTGGTCTTGGCACCTCTCCCCATTCCACACCCAATGTCGCTGGCTCTCAGCAGATGGGTCTGGTCACCAATGTGTCACCCTTGGGGATTTTTCTTCTCTGCCACCCAATTTATCCACACCACTCACTGACCCACTCAAATGTTGGTCCTCCTCCCCTACAAATCTTGTGCTATCACTGAAGGAAATGGCATGACAGTTGCTGACGTGGAGAAGCAGTCAAATGACAAACAGGTGCAGTTACTCTCTACTCTCTTCTCTTAGGAAGAAGAAAATCCTCTCTGCTCTGAAGAGCTCTCCAGCCAACAGCAGCAGAGTTGATTTACGGGAGCCGACCCCCTTGCGAAGAGGCCCCCAGCCATACCTTCCACCATCCCGCTCCCCTTCCCTGAGGCATGGAGAGATCCTCATTGAGTGGAAAGATGGGACTGTCACTCCTCTTTTTGATAACATCAACTACCAAGTGGACTAGCTCCCAAATGACAGAGCTTTTGTTTCATCCCATGTCACTGTTCCCACCAGGAAGACTGCCACCACAGGTGATCTCCTCCCTACCCTTGCTGTTTTGACAGGAAGCACAGTCTGGGGTCTTTTTCTAAACACTTGAGTACAATCTCATTGCACGTGACAAGGTTGAAGCAAGCAGATTGTTTGGTTTGTATAGGCACATGCTGCTTAGCAATTTCAGAGCTGCTTTAACCCATAACAAATCCCTAGTTTCCCCAAATAAAGTTGGGACTTCTGCCAGCTGCAACTGCCCATTGAACCAAAATTATCACTGAGCATATGAAAAAATGAATCTTTGAAGACAAGAGAAAGGTATAAAAAACAGAAGTCCTGATGATCCTTAAATTATTTTTAAGATAAAACTAGCTGCCAAAAGATACAGAAGGCAAATTACATTGTCAGTGTGAGAATGTAATTAATAAGCACTGCCTTCTATAAAATGTCTTCTAGGCATATGCCAAAAGATTCATCCCCACTAAGCTGTCAATTAAGTAACAAGAAGTCATTTTTCTAACTTAAAATGTAGCACTCCACTGCATCACTGCAAGAGCCCTGCTGAGAGAGCATGTGTCTCTCAAAACTTCTATATTTAGGATGTACTAAACATTATTATAACACACATCCTCTTTTATTATATAGACTGGCAAGAAATGTCAGTGGGGATATTGCATATAGAGCCACTTTATTCCAGCTTCAGTCTCTGATTTCCTATAATCATATGGAATAGTCAATGAATAGATACATCGCTCCACCAGAGCAGTAATACAGTTGTTTTTCTTTTAGATAGGAGTAAGACATTATTTTCAGCCTTTACACTTCTTGTCTGAGCAAAATTACCTGTGATTATCACACTCAATTCTGACCTTTTCTCAGTGAATTCTGCAATGTCTTAGAGCTTTCCTAATATTCATGAATGTATATTCTTTCTCCCTGATTCTGAGATGATGTAATCATGGCTTTAAGTCAAGAGTTATGTGGAGAAAGAAACAATAACACCAGGAAATTACAAGTATGAGCTGTGTCAGTGTATCTGTTCAGTAGAGAAAAGGAAACCATATCCTCACGTCTCTTACTTGAGCAATGCCCTTCACTTGACCTAAATTAAGCTGTTCTGCTATTTCAGTGTAGCTTGGACTTCTCTTGAGTTTGGTTTTATTTAACCAACAGCAGAAGTAAGGTCTCTTAAGGGAATTTCAAATCTCTAGAGGTTTTTCTTTTCTTGTTTGTTTGTTTTTGGGGTTTTAAAAATTATTTTTCTTTTTAAACGGTAAGAAGTTTACTGTCATGAGATATTTTATCCAAAAACTTAATTGGTCTTAAAAAAAAAAAAAAAGCCCTATTGGTTTAGGGCATACATATCATAGAGGCTGGAAATCAATATCTTTTCCAGGCAGATTATTCCATCATTATGTACTGGAGGGTTTCCCAGATGCTCCTTGGGAAAATGTTTTCCCATTAGACATGAGCAGAGGAAGAACTCTTTCTTCACCAGTGAGCAGCAAGAATCAGAGTTAAATTCTGACTTTCCAACATTTCTACTTTAAATGAAACTCAAAGACTCTAGATTCTGGGAGCAAAAAAATGTTTAAGAATCATTTTACTCATAAAATTTGTGGGAATACATTCTGTTCATAAATTACTTTGAATGCACATACAGTGCCTGACCCATTACTGCAGTGACACCCCTCGGAATTTTGTCCAAGGAGCGCATTACTTTACAATGCACAGCACTGGTCACCCTCCAAAACAGCTTTGGGAACACTACCTGAGCAGTGCCATTAAAAAGGAAATATGGGCTTGGAGCTGAGTTAATGTGTTTTCCAAAGCACCAAGTGCCTGCATTCATTAGTGCTGAATGGGCAGAAACGATGACTTGTTAATGACTCTCTAACTCCAGCTTAATATGCTAATCTTGCTCATAAACAAGAAGGCAGCAACACCACTGTTTATACAGCACTGATTAAATGGTACCTCAAACAATAATGAAAAACCAAGGCTGAGGCTGCGCAGGCTTTTAACTCTTCTCTCCCACTCTCACTGGTTGTTCCACTCTCTGCCACCACCTGAATGAAACACTTCTGAGCAGTGTTCACAATCAAAATAAAGCCTGACTGTACTGTGGATGAGCACAGAAGTTTTTCATGTGTTTATATACATACATATTTATATATGCATATAAATATGCATCTATAGTGCATATTATAGTGCATCCCTTTTTTTGAAAATACAAATATGTGCAATTTTAAATGACTCCACTGGAAGATAATGGAGTGACAAGCAAAAGACTTGTCACACTGGTACCAACATTAGTAATGTCTGCTGCCCCAAAAGATGAGTGGCTGCAGCCATAGAAGCACTGATAGTATGAAACAGACACAAGACTGCACATAAGCTTGGACATCCTGTGCAGAATGTGGATTAAATACCCTTTCCCAACCCCCTAAAAAATATATCGCTAAGGTGTCTGTTAAAGATCAAAAAACTAAAAGAAAGAGGCAAAAAAACTTCAATTTACCACTTAAATACCGTACCTCAACCATTTACTAAGACTGAATGGAAAATGTTCTCACAACAGTACATTATGGATATACATAAATTCATGATACAAAAAAAAAAACCCCAAAAAACTGAAATGATCTGACAAGTTATCACTGCATATCACTGGAAGAGCTGGTAATAGAACTACTGCTTCCTCATTTGAAATTCAAGGTATGACTTCTGCAGTAAGTGTTTTGTTATTAAAAATCCCCATATGCTCATTTTCTCAACTCTCTGCTTTATATCAGCAAGTCAAGATGTATCAAGTGTTTGATTTTTCAAAAGGACCTGTGGTTGTTCAGCACTTCAAGGAAGAAAAAGAAAGCGGGGGGGGGGGGGGAGTGGGGGAAGAAAATGAGACAGAGAACAGAGAAGTCTTTTGTTAGCTCTGGGCTTCAATTCAGACATCTCTGGCTTATGGTTCAATCAGACTACAGTTTTTTGTGCTAGCTAGGAGAGACAAAAGCACAGTCTCTTTAAAAGCTCTGTGTATCCTCACTGAATTTCTACAGATTAAAAAAAAAAAAAAAGAAATCTACATTTCTGCAAGCCATATAATTTTTCCTCCAGTTTAAAACATAAAAGGCACACCTGTCTCCTCAAGAAATCCCCTTATACTTTACATAAACACTTATTCTCTGGAGCAGAGAAATTGATGCACTTCTTTCAGCACTGCTTGCATGTCCTCATATTCTGCAAATTTGCAGGCATCCTCCAGCTTCAGCCACTGGAAAGCTTGGTGCTCCTCTGACAGCTTGATTTCTGTGTTGCAGTCCTTCAGTTCTGCCAGCCAGTACACGACAGTCTTAGGCTTGCCATGGACAGGGTAGTGCAGCTCTTTCTTGTAGCCCTCAATGAGAGTGAGCTGGCTGGCGTGCAGACCAGCCTCCTCCTGTGTTTCCCGGAAGGCTGTCTGCAGGTCATCCTCCCCAGGGTCCACATGGCCTGCCAAGAGGGTGGAAAAGTAAATTTCTGGGAAGGAAACGCACATTTTGCTTTAATCGGGAAACATTGGGAAGCAGACACGAGAGTACATGGTAACTGACACAGGACGAAATGGAAATTAGAGAGAAGTGATTGCTTTTCCAGATCCTATGTCTTGATTTATCTTTGTTTTGTGGCTTTTAGGATCATTGTTTATCCCTCACCTCCTGAAACTTCCATCAGCAACTCAGCATCAGACATCTTTTCTTCCCACTCCTCTCCTCCACTTCTAGAGTACATCCATAAAGTTCCATCTTAAATTATACTGAGGACTGAGTCCCTCATTTTTCCTTTATCCAGATAGAGCAGAGACAGGTCATCTGAGAGTCTTAATCCTCTCTCCACTATGTCCTCTCACATAAGCTCAAGGCTCAATTCTGCAAAAGTCTTAGTTGTGTCAGTGGTCCAGAAACAACAGGACTAGGCACAGACACGTACCATTTAAAAGGTGCATTTTATTTAAGCAGCTAGGTTTTTTTTTTCTTCCATACTCCCCTCTGAAACAAGCAACAAATCTGAAAGCCAGTCCTTTCAGCAGCTGGGTAGTTAGTTCTCCTAGGACACACCATTTATTTTACATTGCTCAGAACAAGAGGTGCCACTACAAACAACGGATAAATATAACACATCCTCAGCCGTATGTACTTTTGTTGAGAAATGTCAGATTTGGTTTTCTCATGAAAGCTCCGGAACATAAATAGAACAAGCCAAGCAATACCTCAAAAAAAGCAACATTGCAGGAGCTGGGACATTTTAGGAGGCAAAAGAAGTTTAAGCTCTGTTTTGTCCCTGGTGTCACTCTATTTTCTATGCAGCTGGCTCCAAATAGCTATAAATTCACCACAGAGATGAACCGTTCCTCGGGTCTCAGATACCCAAAGTGTCCTTTTAGTACCATATCTGGGCTATGTAGGAAGTTTGTTTTGCCTTTGCAACGGGTCCCGCTCACTTCCCTGCCTGTGTATCAAAAATGTGAACACCTTTTACAACATGACATCACCTCAAATGTAAAATACACATTTCTTTCAAGCAGCAGCTGTGCAGAAAACAGCATCTGATGTTGATACCTGTTGATAACCTCAAGTCTGAGCTCAGTAAGTTGCCACGTTTGTGCAGTACAGTCTACCTGCAGAGCAGAAAAGGGACTGCAGGCAGCACCTCACACACCACAGCTTTCAGATCCTCCCACCTGTTCCCACTGGTGCAGTTCTAATAGACTGAGAAGGAAAATGAATCCTACCTCCCCTTCCCATCAGCCTCAGCTAGTGAAAAGTCACGGTCCTAGGGACAGAGATAAGGCTGATGAGGTTCATGTGAGGGGATCCAGTTTAATCCCATAAGAGATGCAGCAGCTTCGAGACTTTATAAAATAACAAGGTACATCTGTAGCTGTAAACTGCCTTTTGTGTATACTTTGAGAGACATGTACGACTTCTCCTTCTAACTCCTGCCCCATGGAATCAATGTTAACATCACATACAAGTTATCATACTGCATGTCCCAGGGCCACCTTGGAAGACCACTCCTATCACAGATATTATAAAATGGAATAGCTTCTCTTCATTAAATTCCCCCAAATCATTATCAACCTTCTATTATAGGCCACCATCAGATTCTGGTCTTCAATATCTAAAATCTGAAGCAGCGTGTTGAGGGAGGTGATCCTCCCCCTCTGCTCTGGTGTGACCCCGCCTGCAATGCTGCATCAATCTCTGCAGTCCCCAGCAAGGGAAGGACATTGACCTGTTGGATTGAGTTCAGAGGAAGTCATGAATACGATCAGGGAGTGGAGCACCTCTGCTTTGGAGACCGGATGAGAGAGTTGGGGCTGTTCAGTCTGGAGAAGAGAAGACTATGGGGAGACCTCAGGGTGCCTAAAGGGTGGTTGTTTATAAGAAAATTGGGGACAGACATTTGAAAAGGGCCTGGAGTAACAGGAGGAAGGCTCCTGCTTTTCATCTAGGAGAGGGAAGACTCAGACTACAGACAAGGAAGACTTGCTTTTACTATAAGGGTGGTGAAATACTGGCACAAGTTTCCTGGAGAGGTGGTGGGTGCCCCATCCCTGGAAACGTCCAGGTTGGCTCTAGTTGAGGATGTTCCTACCCACTGGTGGAGGCTTTGACTAGACAACCTTTAAGAGTCCCTCCCAAGCTACACTATTCTGTGGTTCTGGGTGTGTGAGATACATGCTTATGAGACAATTAGCTCCCTACCAAAACGTCTACAAGCAATTTAAATCACTTGTCCAGAATTACTGTGTTCCCAGGGATCCTTACACAAGATTTCTTCTCACAACAATCAATCATGTCCCAGCAGATGTTTTTTTAGCTTTCCACTAGGCTGCAAACTCAACTCCCTTAGATCCTTGGTGCAACAGAGGAAAGGGAAACATTGGGAAAGTTTTGTTCTTTCCCTGAATAGAAGAGCCTAGCTAACAGTGTTAAAAGATTTTTTTTTTCCCCAATTTGCAAGTTCTTGTTTATGAACTGTTGTACCACACTTTTACCAAATGAGCAGTAGAAACTATCAGGAAAAAATCTCAGATGGTAAAAAAGAGCATACAAGAAGATCTCCAGGGAACCTAAAGTATTTCTGTGCTGCACTTTTTCTGGTACCAGGGCTGTGACTGTGTACTAGCAAACACTGGCTCTGCAATGTGCCTTTACAGAGGAGGTGCTGCTCTCTGTCCTGGGACACAGAGCTTGTTTTCTGCTCTGAGGCCTCACTGATGACCAAGAATGGCTGGTAAGGTTAATTCTTCTATCTGTCCCTCTCATCTCTACTGCATTAGGCAAGTGATCCTCATCAATGATCTCCTGCATCTCCTAAGAACAGCGTATTAAAGTGTTCTATTACAGAGTTCAGTTGGCCTTCCTGCAGACTTTGACCACAGCCCTGCAGACTCTGATCACACATGGGTCAAACAATCCTGCACTGGCAACACTGCAGGCACCTGCCAAAGGGTGAGGGCTGAGGCAAAAAGGTAGAACATCCTCTCATCACCTTGCTTCAGTCGTGTAAATATCTTTGTCAGAAACATCAGACGCCTGAGAGCTCGGCTGGGTGACACCCCCTGCCCCAACCCAAATCAGCCGTGCCCAACACTTTGTACAGCCACAACTTGCAGAGGATTTCAGCCTCAAAACTGCCCCCTCACCTCCAGCACCATCAGACAAACAGCCAGCAGCTACTTTCAGGTGGTAACTGCCCCTCTAAACTGACCTCAGCCAAAATCCTCTCTCCAACCTGACCACCAGGAGTGTTACCAGAACAAAAATCACCTTTGGGCGGGGTCCAGTGGTGGGTCCCGTAGGATGTCTGAAGCAGGAGGTACTCAATGCTGTCAGTGACCTTAGAGGATGCTGCTGGCTGCAGCCTCCTGTAGATGATCAAGCCACAAGCTCTCACAGCCATTCCACTCTGCCAACTGCACCAGGAGCTGCAGAACAGCACAAACAAGGGACTCGAACACACCAGCTGTATTTAGCCAGTGAACAGATCTCAGCACAGTAAAAAAGTTGTCCACCCCTTTGAAGTCACCACAGAATTAAACTGTATATTATTAGCTACCTTTGAATTGTAAAAAAATTTCCTTTGGTATAGAGAAGCATGAAAAACGACCTGTATGTCATGTCTTTGCTGCTGATAAATTGCAAACCATATTGCAAGGAGGGGAAAAAAAATTACAAAGCAAAAGGAAAACCACAGATTAATACTCTGAAACTGTTCCACTGCAAAACTCCAAAGGCCCTGTGCAGAGGTAATAGCTCACCATTACTGGAGTTGGCATTCGGAAATAATTGCTACGGACAGTTTCCCTAGAGCACAGGACTCCTCAGGATATCAGGACCAAAGCTGAGAAAATGAATGACAAAGGACAGGCTCTCTGCCGTCTCACCTAGACAAAAGGCTGTCATACAAAACTACAAGTTTCTTAGCACACGTGCTAAGCGCTGATTTGATGTGAACAGTAAGGAACACACCTCTTAAGTGACAAATATTGTCAGCAAGAAGCTACGCAGCCAGCATGAGTAGTCCTAGAGAGAAAAAGAAGCAATGGACATGAGTAATCCATTCCACAAATCTGGCCGATTCCCAGGCCTGGGCAAAGCTTTGCATTCTGGCAGAAACGCACAGTTCAGTAAATAACTGTACACAACAATGCATTTTCCTGGGACGCCAAGAGCGGCACCGTGACACCTCCGGCTTCCAACACGGGAAACCACAGCACGGAGCCCTTCACCACCAACCACAGTCCTGGACGACGCTCAGCTCTTGTGGTCAACCACTTCAACAGCTTCCTTTAGTTCCTACCTAGTTCCTTTAGCTCAGGCACAGCACCCCCAGGACAAAGCCCCACTGCGGCCCCGGGGCCAGCCCGAGGAACCAGCACCACCTCCCGTGCGCGCCTGCAAGGACAAGGACAAATCCCAGCGGGGCCTCTCCGCCGGCGCCCGGCGCGACGCGGCCGCGCTGCCCCGGCCTCTGCTCGCCGCCCGCAGAGGGATGGGGACACTGGGCACGGGACACCGGGCATGGGACACCGGGATCGGGACACCGAGAACGAGGACACGCATCACCCCCACAGCGGCCACCACGGACCCCCCGCCATCACCTCTGCTTCCGGCTCCGGCAGCCGGCGGGAACCAGCGCGTGATTGGCGTCAGCCTTAACCAATCGCAGCGGCAGCGGCGAGGGCGGTAGCCACGCCCCTCTCGTCCGGACTGCCGGCCCCGCCCCCACACCCGAGGAGGTCTCGGATTGGCCTCTCGCCGGCGGAAGCGCCCCACCCTCCCCTCTCCCCTCTCCCTATTGGCTGGCTGTGCGCGCGAGGCTGCGCGCGGCGTTCGAAGCCTTGTTGCCAAGGAGACGCAGCCTAACGCCGCCGCCGAGCGGCGCCATGGCCGGTGAGTGAGGGGGGAGCCCGCCCTGAGGGGACAACTCCAGCCGGGGCAGGGAGGGCTCCAGGGACATCGCCCCGACCGGCCCCACCGGGCTCTAGACGGGGAAGGGCCTTGCTGGGACATCTCCGGGAAGGATGAGGCATGGCCCCCCTGCAGGGTGGAAGTCCGGACGCGTGGCATTTTGTTTAACTGCATTTTTATAAGTATAAAATGCTTTTCAATTATATATTTTATCTATTTTACAGATAGCACGTAGTTTATATAACACGTAAAATATGTAAGTGCAATTAAAAATACATATGCATTATGCAAAAATTTCTAAAATACTTGAGTACTATTTAAAACAGTGTTAATATATTTTTTATAATATCTATGAAATATGTTTTTACGTTTTATGTTTTAAAATTTAAATAAAACGTTTAAATTATTAAAGAAACAATGATGGACGTTTGGTAGATCCTGCTGGGAGGATGAGCTCAGGAACGGTTTTCAAATAATTGGCACCCTGCCATAACTAGTGGGTTATTTTCTCGGCATGTGGTTGAATATTGGACTCTTCCAATATTCAGTGTCCCAGTATTGGGGACTTTCCCTTCTTTATGCATCTGTTTCTGGCAGCTGTCAGGAGCAGCTGTAGGATGGGGCCTATTCTGCTGAGGTCACCCAGCTATAATTAGTATGGAGAGAGGAATAAAACACTCTGAAATACTTTTTGGGGAAACAAAGAAAATCTCTTATATTCATTTGGTTGTCAGCCAGTTTTAATGACATTAATTAGTGTGGCTAGAGCAATACAATACTCTGAAATGCTTTCTGGGGAAACAAAAAATCCCCAATATTTAGTTGCTTGTAAGGTGGTTTTAATGACATTAATTGTTTTAGCAACTTCTTCAAGGTATGTCAGTGGCAAGGGAAACCCCCTTTTCCTACTTGTTGCTGAAAGCAGCAGACCTGTGCCAAGCTCCAGCTGTAAAATTGCATTAAAACCATTTAGTATTAAAACCATTTCCTCCTCTCCAGTTAGTTATGCTGTACTGATGCTAAGTAAGTGGCTGTCTATCAGTGTCCAGCTTCCAAACAGCTGAACACTTGTTCCAAGGAGCCGTGCAATGTTTAATGCCCTGTTGTTTGCGTGCAGGGTAGAGTAATCCTATGATCTTCCAAAGGGATCTGCTGCAATGTCAATCACGGTTTCACAGATCCCTACCTGTTGAATTAAGCTAAAGTCTGGGCTCGTTTTACAGTACAGATTATCTCTTGTTGTGGAGCTTGTCTTAAAAAAGTGCAGCTGCAGCCTGACCCTGTTCTTCACAGGAATTCCCTAATTCCCCAGGAATGGGGTCAGAATGACTAGTGTGGTGCTCTCAGAAAGCAAGTTAGCCATTCACTTCTGGAGGGTTCAATCAGATTTGGCTTTGGATCACCTTAAAAAAAAGAGCTTGATGTTCAAAGGAATCAGGAATGAAGGTGGATGGGTAGTGACACAAATTAATACCTTTCCCTTTTCCCTATTCATTCTTTGCTTCTGTATTTCAAGAAACCTGCAAATTCTTTGGCATGGGCGGGACCTGTGCTGAAGTGCTGAAGTTTTTTTGGGGGTAAAATGGTTGTGAGTAATGAGTACAGTGTGCTGCTGTAGTTGCTATCAGGAGAGAACACCTACCTGCTACACATTTAAAAACTTTTAAAGCTCTTAAGTTTTATTTTTACAATGTACTTGCAGAGCACCTTATAAAAAAGTTAAAATAAAAGAAGGTGGTGTTTATGTTTTGTATGCTGATTAACAATTTCTATGTTTATCAAATACCCTTGAAAATCATGACTAGTAAACTTATTTAGTGATCAGGCCAGAGTTTATGTTCAGAGTGGTTACCTTAGACTATATGCAGGACAAAATGTATCATTTGCATTTGTGGCAATGTCACGTAAGATTTCTTCACTTTATTTCCCTAATTTAAAGAATAGCTATAATGACACGTGTTCTCTCTCAGTGGTGACACTCAGGAAATCATCTAAATCTGAAATTATCACTCTAAATCATTTAAAATTGTCAGGTCAATATGAGTGAGCTACAGTGGGAAAACTGTCCATGTGAGGGTTACTCAAGTGAATGGGGTGCTGAGATCTTTCATAAATCAGAAGTTACTAATTATCAAGGTATAGTGGTTCTAGGCTGCTTTATTCTTAAAATAATCTCTATGGCGCTTTTACATAATGTATTTTATACACAGTGATTGACAGTCACCAAGCACCTTAGAAGACCTTTCCTCCACCTTGAAAAGTGCATTGAGAAGGAAAAGATCTTGTGAAAGAGGTAATTAATAATTTGAAGCATTTTAAAATGGAGAGTCAGCTCCTAGAGTGTAATTTTGTTGTAAGTTAATTTCCTTCAGGACAGAAAAATGTTTCTTTTCTTTACACTTACTTTTCTGGTTTTCATCAGCTGTACAACCTTTGAAAAACCTGTATTACTGAAGCTGAGGAAGAGTTCTCTGATGACAAGCTGTGAGCTAATTCTGTGGCTAAACTGCTCTCTTCTATATATCATTCCAATGCTTTTATTCAACAAGCACTTACACATTACCAGCATCTGGAAGCCTTTTAAGATCGTTGTAAAATGTCTCGGCATAAGAAACAAGTTGTAGAGAATTCATGGTTGCCACATAGAGATGTCAGGCTAGGTGCACATGGAGAATTTTACCTCCATGCTCATCTTTTTCTCAAAATATGTTACACCCAACTATTGCAAGAAGTCCTAGTATTTTATCTCAACCCTGTTTTAAGTGAAGCTACCCATATCTTTGTGGGGAACAAGACCTAGGTTTTGATATGAAAATACCACACTGAAGAATTGCATATTTTTCTGCCTCATGACATATTATTCTCATGGATGAACAAACAAATAACTGAGGAAATGCTGGCTGTTACAAGACTAAAAGTCTTCTGCCTTTTTTTTGCCAGAAGATGGCATTAACTATGTAGGATTCTGGAAAGCCTCCTCTTAGTTTTCACAAAGCCAGTTTCTTTTGGTGAATTGTATATCTGTTAGGAAAAGCATCTTCAGACACAAAGATCCCTACAAGGTTGGATGAATTAAAGTATTATTTCAATTAAGAGAAAGATATCCCTGTTTTTTAGAGCAACAGTGAACAAAAAGTGAGAAGAGTTTCACTGGCAATGGCAGTTTTCCCTGAGCTCTTTCATGTTTGAAAGACAAAAAATCTCTTAGCAATTCTAGTCTCGAATTTCAAAATGATCAGAAATGCTGGTCCTCTCATTATGCCAACCCCTAATTTTTTTTTCCTGTGGTTCATTAATTTGTTACTCCTTTATTAGTGAACATAGTTTTTTTTCCCTAGCTTGTGAAATTCCTGTCTTGTCAATAAGGAGTCGATGGAGCTATCCCTGAAACCACTTAGATCCAGTAAGATTTATTCTATCTGAGAAGGCAGATCTCAGGTCTCATTAAGAGGCCAGGTCTCATTAAGAAACCATTTTGCTGCTTTCACATGACACAGAGTCTTAGCCAGTTAGCCACAGAGAGCTGCTTATATTGCTCTTGTAGGTTCTGCGGTACCTACATAACTTGTATTTTTCTAATGCTGAGCATTCTTCTGACTTGTCACTCCATATAATGACAGCCTGTTATCTCTAGCTATTTAAATATATTTTGTTTCATTTTTAATTAGAACCTTGACCTTCAAATTTGTAATTCTCTTCCCTTGTCTGCTGTTCTTTTTTAAGAAAATGTTCTCCATTGTTTCTCTTTTTATTCTTTTTTCACTCTCCTGTGTTCACCATTATAATTTGAACAGAGGTTATCACTGAATTAGGGTCTTTGGACACTCTGTATTTAATATAAGGATATATAAAGATGTAGGTGTAATCTAGGATACAAACAGAGAGTAGACAAAATAAATTTATTGGATTAGTTTTGTCTTTAACAGATTCTCAACACTTTTGAGATTGGTGTCTTGGCCTTGAGTTCTAGCTGCTCCTTTCAGCAAACAGAAGAATTTGCCTATGACAGCACACAGCACCTGTACTGGTGTAACAGTACAGATTTTACATATCTATAGATCTATATCTATATACATACATACAAAAATACATACATACATACGTATACGTATACGTATACATATACATATACATATACATATACATATACATATACATATACATATACATAAGGTTTTACATTAAAGCTACCTTATGTAAGAAAGGGAATTTTTTCCAAAATGTAATTCTTTAAATGAACTCTCAGGTTCCTATGTGTTTTAATATGTTAGAGAAGTTGGCAAGTAGTGAATGCTTCTGAAACCCTTGCACACATATAGTCTCCCTGACCTCTGGGTTTGCTGTCCTCTCTGTCAGTTTTGATTTCCCCCTCCTAGGATCTAGCAGGCTCAGCAGTGACTCTAACTTTACCTAAGGATTCAGAATCAAATTACCTACACATTAAATAAATTCACTTATATGCGAATTTTTTAATCTTGTAGTTTTTTGTTGCTGAATCTTATAATTTTACCTAAAGCATGGACTCTAAGTAATTTTAGATATTCTCTACTGTACATTTTGGCCTCCATAATATCTTACACAGTCAGCACTTTATATATTAATATTTATGATTTTATTGTTGTTAGTTCTTCAACATAATGTATTAATTAATTACATGGACTCAGATTTGGGGATGAACTTATTTTCTTCTATAATGTCATTGTAGAGAGCCTTGAAAATCCTCTCAAAGAATCTACCCTGAACTACAGAGAGGAAAACTTAAATAGCATGTTTTTGTTGAGTCTTACTGTGACCTCCAAACATGTGTTAGAGCAGTATTTGTTAAGGTCCTAGACTGAACAAAGATATGAGAAGGCAGTGGGCAACAAATACTTGAAGTGTTGTTTTTTTATGGAAGTTTTTGTGGTTTATAGAAGTAAAATTATCTGCAGATATTAATCCATTGGGATATAAACAGCTGCACCATGCATTTGCCACTAAGACATAAGTGAAGAAGTTGGGGGATACTTTTCAATGATTCATGTTTCTTTTTTGGGTTTCCCAAGAATATAAGTATGGCATTCCAGTGGCATATATAGATTTAGAGAATTGCTGTCTTTCAGATTTTGTAGAATTGTTTTTTTCCATTTTTCTGTCATGGAAACTCAGAAATGCTCATAGGATTCATGACATAAAAGGTACACTGTAAAACTACAGCTTTCCTATAGTTCATCTGTTAGATGAATGGTCTTAATTAGGCATCTTGAGGTGAGGACAAGTGTAGCTTTTTTCTTTTCTGGTTAGTTAACCAGGGGTAGCTGAACTATGTTAGACCATGTGCCTCGATATTAAATTGTCTGTCTAAAATTAGGCATTTTACGTTCTATAGCTTGAGGACAGGGTTTCAGTAGCTGTGGCATTCATCAAGTAGACATCAGGCGTGTAGGAACTCTGTGGCAGTGAGTAATATTGCCTTGTGCACTTCTTACATGTTGTGTATTGTATATAATTTTAAAATATAGTTTCATGGATAAAATATTTGTTTCATGTTTTACTTTATTGTTGTTGCTGCTATTTTCTTTAGTGTTTGTCAGTCTAGTGTATGGTAAACTTGGAGTTAAACAAGCGGCTAGCCTAACTGCAAATAATGTCATCAGGAAACATGCAGTTTCTTCATTAGTTAACTTTGTCAGATGTGATGTTTGATATGATTCGAATGTTTATTTTGTTTGATTTCTTGTAGGCTCTAGGTTGAAGATGGCATCATGCCTTTATGAATGCCTTTGTGAAGCAGAACTTGAAAAATACTTCCCCCACTTTGCTGCCTTTGGTCTTCAGAAAATTGATGAGCTTGCCAAAGTTTCCATGGAAGATTACACCAAACTGGGGGTCCATGATGTAAATGACCTCAAACGTCTTTTCCAGCTCATTAGAATAATCAAAATTAGGCAACGAGAAGACGCTGCAGACTTAAGCAAGCAAGATTTTCAACCACATGGCCTTTTCATTCAGCCTCAGGTGACCAAGTCAGGACCCTATAGACAGCTGCGTTTTGAGTCCTTCTGTGAAGAAAATGATGGAACAGTTAAAGAGTCTGAATCTGAATTGTATCATTCACCTGATTTCAGTGCCAATGAAAAGAAGGACAGTGTAGGGGAAATGCTGGGACACATTCCACCACACAATTCAGTAGGGGAAATGCTGGGACACATTCCACCACATGATTCAGAGCCAATCAGATTAACTAGAAGAGACCTAAATATTCCTGGAATAGGTACAAAAGATGACCTGAGCTGTCCAACAGTTTCTGATGATATTGCTCATCTCTGTATCAGGTAATAATCACTCACCTTTGTTTTGCTAATAATTCAGGTTAGTCATAATTTATTCTTTCTTAATTATGGAGCAGAATCTGTCTTGCTCACCTCCAAATAAGCAATCCAAGCACTACAGAGCAATGCAAAGTCTTACAGACAAGAGAGCTACTAATAGGCATTTGCAACTCTCCAGAAGGAATCATCTGAATTTGACCAGCTGCTACTCACCAAGGTTGTCTAAGAATAGTCTTTATTGTCTTTCAGGATTTAAAGGGTTTTTTTCTTGGTATTTGAGCCAATCTTTGTCTTTCCATGGGACTATTTTTTAAAACATTATTTTTCCAAAATATGGCATTGCCTGTTGTTAAATTTGTCAAGCTTTTCTTGGTAAAAAGGATACAGGCTGTGATGGATATATTTGTTTATAAAGAAACTTCTGAACTGAAGCTTTAAAAGGAAGCAGAATTAATACAGCTGGGAAGGGCTACAGACCTGGTGGTGAAAGGGATGCCTTGCAGCTGCTCCTTAGGCATGTGATCTGTAACTTCCATACTTTTCGCAGTGTTTGATACTGGAGGGGCTGGGGTTATCATGAACCACTGGTAAATCTACCCTAGCAACATTTTTAAAGGACCAAATATTTTTTTCCTGATTCAGCAGCAGAGCACGTACGCCTCTGCACATGTAATACCAGTATCTAGCTTGTTGCAATGCAGTCATGGTAGTTAATATGCAATGAAAAGAGGTAGTTTTATGAAGTCAGGTCTGGTCTGGGAAGGCTGTGGGGAAAGATTTGGTACAGGGAAAGATCCGTGGAGTTGAGGTGTCAAATACAGCTCCCACCAAGACTGCATGAGCCTGGAGGGATAGATGCTGCTGCCACGGTAGAAAAGTACTAAGGTGATGTAGTAAGTACAGCACTTAAACTGTGAAAGACAAGACAAAGGTTTATAACTCTCCTTGACTGGAAAAAAAATCATTCCTACCTTTTGGAGAAGTGCACTAGCCTCCAATATATATTGATACCTGGGTGTATTCTCTGTCTCTCCTGGAAGATGAGCCAATGTGCAGCTAAAAGGACAGGATTTATAATGTTGGCAAATTAAAAAATGATACATTATTAAAGCTAATGGCTCAAGTAAAGGCATTAAAGATTTTTAATCCTGCAATAGAGACATGTTCTTCATTGTTCTCTCTTTCCTTGTTCTCTTCTTTTGTAAGCACATTCTTCTGTACCAAGCATTATGGCTCATCTTGTGGGCTTTCTGCATTCTCCTCCTTGATATGCCTCAACTTAATATTCTCATGTTTGGAGAGTTGTGCATTTCAGGCAGGCTTGGAGCAGCATGAGCAAACTCAGGTTTGTGATTCCTGTTTTGCAAGTGCTTAACTGCTTTGCTGAATCCATCCATTCCCATGTCACCTTGTGATCTGACCATTGTGAAGGCTTATCTAGTCTCCTCTATGAGAAATATTGGAAAGCACAGACATGATTTCAGATAGCAGAAAGACAAAGAGCTCTTTTAATATGTTGAAATTTATTTTGAACTTGCACACAGCAAGTAACTTGATTTTGCAAAGACATAATTGTCCTTCTGACATATTATTTAGTCAGATTTCTGATGATCTGTGTCATCGCTTTTGGTTGATTTTTTTCCTAGTGATGAAAAATTATTTTATTATAACATTAAAATTATATTTTAAAAGAGATGTAAGAAATACAAACTTTGGGTTCAGCATACATAATTAATATACATTCTATTCCCATAAAAAATATACTCAACAGAATGTGCCTCTGTACTAGAGAAAATTATTCATTTTTTCTCATTAATAGAGTCTCTAAATTTTCAGTTTTTCTTTTCTCCAAATAATGCAATCCTTTCCACTTCAAGCTCTTAAAGCACAACAGGCTTTTGCTGCAGGTCACCAGCTACACACTCTGGCACAAGAATTAAACTTCAGAGCGTCTGATCATTTGTTGGACAACATTTGATGCCTAGTGATATGCCTAAGCTCACATCAGGTTATGAAGCATCTTATTTCAAGTGTCACTGCCTTTCTTTTCCAACAAAAGAATTTTCCATCTTCTAAATGCATCTAAATGCACAGCCTGATCCTGGACTGCATGGGAAAGCTGTACTAAAATTAAAGGGACTCTAGTGATAAGTAAAGATTGCTCAAGTGTGGTCTTCAATGACCTATCTTGAAATTTAAGTCTGTATCTCATGTGCTTCTGGGGAATCATGGAACACAGCAGCAATGATGTCACAAGCCTTTGATTGTTAATGAGATGTTGAGTTACTTGTGGGTTACAATTTGTTAGACAACTGGTATATATGAGTTTTCAGTTTCTATGATAAGAGATTTTGGCATCTGGATGGTGTGCCAGAAACACTGCTCTTGGGCAAGTGTGGGCTTGATTATTTGAAATGCAAATCCAGGCGGAAAATTGTTACTGCTTTGGCTGAAGACAGCTTGAAGAAGGGAGAGATATATTGAATACACTTTGGTTAATTCAAGCCTACTCTATTAACAAAATGCTGTACGCAGCAGGTTAATCAATGAAACATGAAATTACCTCCTATTTCATCCTATTTTTAGTCTGGAACGGGACTAAAGTAAAATTGCTGAAACATAAGAGCGCAACTTTGTTTATGGTCTGAAACTACATAACCTTTTTATGAAAAAAGACTAAAGGGGAGACAAGGATGAGATCAGTATATAATTTTTTTTTTGACCTGAACAGGAACATGGTGTCATTTGCCAGTTTGAGTCATTTACTTGTAACCAGTTGGACAGTCTATAATGGGAAGAAAAAAGTCCAGCATTAGAGGAAAAGCAACTAAGTATTCTATATTTTCCTTTTCAAGATCTATTCATACTTTCATTGCACATGATTAAATGACTGATCATGAGTGCAAATAATTTCAGCAAGATTTAATTTCATTACTTTAACTTGGATATTATGCCAGCTTCCATCTCATGTTTGTGTGCAACTGAAAATATGTCATTCAGCAGCAAGTTCAGGAGTGTAGCTGTACAAACATAACTATTCCTTTAACAGAAATGTACAGGAAGCATCTGTCTGTTTAGGTAAAAGCATCAGAAACTGCATAATGAAAAAATGAGGTGTGTTACGGAGTTTTTTGATAGGCATTAACAACAGAAACATTCTGTGATAAATGTAACAAATTCAAGCATATTCTAGATGCTCTTGTAACCTGATTTTAAAATGTGGACTTCCATTATTGTTGCAGCTCCAATACTTTCGACAAAGAGACTCCATGGACAGAGAGTGAAAAAATCAGAGTGTGTGTCCGAAAACGTCCTCTCTGCCAGAGGGAGGAGAGACTTGGGGAGTCTAATATAATCACAGTGGAAGATAAGGAAACCCTAATTCTCCACCAGAAGAAGGAGGCAGTTGATCTTACACAATACATTTTACAGGTAACATCCTCCATTGAAGGTTGTGCTTATGGGCCAGTCACTTGCATGGAAGAGTAGGGCTTATTGTGGCTGGAGTTTCCATGAGAGAAAACAGAAAAGGACTCTTAGTGTTTCTTACACTGAAATAGGTGGTGGGCTTTTGTTTTAGCTCAGAGTTGTCTATATTTGAGTTGCTTTGAGTTGATTTATGCCAGACTGTGCCAGTAAAATTGAGCCCAGAATTTTAAGGTCTAGAGCTGTCTCTTGTAACTTTCTTTGTATGTGGCAAAATAAATCCTCTGCTACATGCCATTGCTGCAGGAGAAATCCCTGCTGATGGCTTTCCAGGGTGAGGAGTTCCCTTTCCACTGTTTAAGCACTGTGGATCTGTTTCAATGAATCATACACACCCTCATCCCCTCCCTTCTATTTTTCTCAAAAGCTTTTGAAAATTAAGTTCCCTTTTGTCTTTGTATCTTAATCCCAAATACTTTGTGCTGTCATAGTTCAAATTCTCACTTGTGACTGACAGCACCAGGAACAGAACTGATTTGTAGAGGCAGCAAGCTATTCTTGCTGTGCTGAGTGTTATTTTTACAACTGGGGCCCTAGGAGCAACTGTTCAGAGTATCTGGTAAAATTTCAGATATCTCTTGGACACAGTTCATGTGCCACCTTTCACAGTGGGACACATGCTGAATCATTTCCACAGACCCTGCTTTTTTGAGTCTGATCTGGAGTGTGGGAAGTTTTGATTTTATTTCTTTTGAGTTCAGACAATGTAGCTTTGCTTAGGAACAGCTTGTTTCTTCTTTGGCACAAAACTTTTTAAGAACAGAGGCAATTAATAACACCTAAGTCAAAAGTGAGAACTAATTTTGAGAAAGTCAAGAGTTGACTCTCAGCTCATTTTACTGTTAGAGTCTGACAGTACATCTGTAGGCTGATTCATTTAATGAATAGGTTTTCTTTAATTAGTGGGTTTTTTTTTTTCTTTCTTGTTAAAAGGCTCTGGTATGTTACATTTCAGAATTATGGGAAATTGATGCATTTTTGTTTCCTTCCCCCCTCCCCTCCCCCCTGCCCCTACCCTGAATCTCTTGACTGGTGTGTTCCTACCTGAGTTGTGTTGCATATTAAGTGTGCTAGATCACTCTCTACCTAATCCAACACCATGTGAAGTCACTGGAAAGACTTCCGTTATTTCATTTTACCTTTGAATGGAATTGGAGGGGAATAGAAACCTATTCATTCTCATGTAAAGATTATCTTTGTTTTTCAGCATGTTTTTTATTTTGATGAAGTCTTTGAGGAGACATGTACCAATGAGGATGTGTATATGAAGACAGCTTATCCTCTCATTCAGCATATTTTTAATGGGTAGGGCATCAGCGCTTACACTGGTTATTTTTTGTTTTGTTGTTTTCCAATTTTATGTGTATGCCTGAACTTTCCTTAATGCTTTTCATCTTCTGAAACGTATCTTCATTTCACTTTTGCCACATGGCTTCCCCCTTTCAGAACATCTTTGATTGCAATTTTTACAAAAATAAATCAGGAAAAACTTTCTTCACACTAGGTGACTAATCTCAATTACAGAAGAAAGTTAAAATTGAACCTCAGTAGCAACAAAGTGACAGCATGATCAGCCTACAATAAACATATGTCCCAGGATTTCTGAATTTTCATCTTCACTGTAACAAAGGCTCCTGTGTGGCAGAGCACACTCATCTGTAGAGAAATAGTATTACCTCTTTCCTGAGACTACTGAGAGGTATTTTACATGTATTTTTACAATCTGGGCCCTAGGAACAACTGTTTGGAGTATCTGGTAAAATTTCAGATATCTCTTGGACCCAGTTCACCTTTTACAGTGGGAACATGCTGAATCATTTCCACAAACCCTGCTTTTGCACAGTTCACAAGGCAATAGAAATGATGAATAAACTTGTGGTTTATTTTTGTTGATTTATATTTGCTTAGAAGTTTAATTGTAATTACATACTTCCTGATGAATGGGAAATTTATGGTGGCTTTACAGGAGACTTCTTATCTCTATGCAAGGCCATATATATTGAATACATACTTGAATATAATTACTTTTTTTGAGTCTTTGAAGGAAAAAATTACGTATCCATGCTGAAAATTAACAAAATTGAGTATTCTGTTACTGAAAATCTCCAAGTGTCATCAACGGAGACAGAGTACCATGCTCTTGAAAAAAGGAAAGTGAGAAAGGAGAATGAGGCTTGCACCTTGCTGTGCAATAATCACTAAAGCCACAATTCACATTACTGCTAGTCCAGTAATGCCACCAGAAGAGATTATGCTATTTTTTTCCCCAGCTTTCCCCTTACTTTTCTACTCCTCCTGCTGGCATTTATTTAATCTGACACCATGGTGAGGCAAATCTGCAATCTAAACTGGCAAGGAATTGTTCACTGTGATTACTGCAGCCATACATTTTTACTCATTCCTCTGCCAGGAGTACTGAACCGGGTACAAAGTCTTTTTATTAAGGGGGGCAGGGAAAGGAAAAGAAAGGATGAGAGCCAGCACCCTGTGCCACATCAGATCTCCACAGGGTATACTTGGAAATCATTGTTAAGCATTCTGTATTTTCCCAGAGAGGGTAGCAGACCAAACCTCTTTGCTAAGGGGCCACTATAGATAGATACCAGCATTGCAGAATATTATTTAATAGATAATAATTAATCAGATGTGGCACTAAACACATACACTGTCTTCACAGAGGCAATGCAACTTGCTTTGCATACGGGCAGACTGGTGCTGGCAAGACTTACACCATGATAGGGACTCATCAGAACCCAGGACTCTATGCCCTGGCTGCCCAGGACATCTTCAGGCACCTGGAAGCATCACCATCCAGGAAAGATCTTATTGTTCTGATCAGTTTTTATGAGATCTACTGCAGACAGCTTTATGACCTGCTAAATGGAAGGAAAAGGTATTTAAGAAAAATTATTATTTTCTACTAGCCTGCAGTTGTGAATCAGTTGGTTACTGTTTGGAAATCAGTTACTGTTTTCATGCAATTACATTTAACATACTAGCATTTACAGCAACTGTTACATATTTAATTAGGGTCGTTCACAGGAGATACTTAGAGAGGATAGCAAGATCTGACAGTTGATACTGTGACATTGGTAGGGACTCCTGGTTTGTTGTTCGGGCGAAAAATAAGGACTTAGGTTTGAGATACAAGCTCAGTCTCTTGTTTACACTGTAATAATATAATAGCTAGACATCCATAGGTAGAGAAACAAGCTTCTTGTGGCCAGAAGTTCCTGTCTTAAAATCATAGAACATTTTGAGAAGGAACCTTAAAGATCTTCTTGTTCCACCTCTACTGCCCTGGGCAGGGACAACTTCCACTAGACCAGGTTGCTCAGAACCTGGCCTTGAACGTTTTTGGGCATGGGACATCCACAACTTGTTTGGACAGCCTGTCATGTGTCAGCCATTGTGGAGTCCTTGTCTTTCCCTGATCAAGCATAAACTCTGGAGGAGGCTGTCCCTCCTGCTGTGCCAGTGGGGATTTGACTCTTGCCAATCCAGTCTCTGAAGATCCTGTTGATCTCCTACATGCTTGACTCTGCAGAACCTGCTCACCTTCTCCCTGGGCACCTTCACCTGGCAGCCCACTGACTCAGCCCAGCAAGCCTCTGGAGGTGATGCTGAAATATGATTCTAAGGCTGTAGGAGTTGTGCAAAAATTTTTTAAATCCTGTGCAAAAATCCTTAGAATACAAACAGAACAAAGTTTACAGTTGGGTGAGGACTTAGAGGAGCCTGAGATGTAGTTTAAAGGGAGACTAACTCCAAAATGTAAATGTGCTAATTTACTTCACTGCGTTATTGTATTCTTAACTAGCAGAAATGCACTGCTAATGTCTCTTTAGCAGTGAAATGTCAGTGGTATTTCTTATAAATTAGTTACTTTTTCAGCTCTGAAAATGAATGACAGCTACTCTCCTGACAGTAGCCTTCACTGCTTTTTCTCAGTGTCACAGCACAGACATGTTTTCATTGCTGCTTTCTAAGATTTCAGATACCTCCTTTTTGCACTATTCTCTTGTCAGGCTTTTTGCAAGAGAAGATGGCAAGCGCATTGTTCAGATAGCTGGACTCCAGGAGGTTCGGGTGGATTCTGTAGATCAGCTGTTGGAGGTAATGTCTGAGATTCATTCCTTGTCTTCTGCAGCCCAATTTGCTTATTTGTGAGGTGTGTCACTTGCAGAGATTATTTATTGTGTATGTTCCTGTTTAAGGCCCTAAAACTGACAATCCCAACAGGGCACCAAGGGGCCCTATTCATTGTGGCCCCTTCAATTCAAAAGTACCTTTATTGATTAAGTTGTTTCTTGTGTTAGCCACATGCAAGTAGTTGACTCACAGCTGGTCACTTCTGCTGCCATTCCATAGGGAAAGATTCTAGAAGCTAAATAGTGTCCCAGTAAGGGACCTTGAAAGCTGGATATGTAATTTCCCCCAGTGTGATGTGTCTTGTGGTTCTATTAACTTAGACTTTTGTATATAAAAGATATGTGGTTTTGGCATACAATATATAAATTTGAAAATTATTAGAAACAGAAATTAGAACATACTTAAGATTTGGTCTGAATTAGGATTAAAATACTGCTTACATGTGTGCATGACAACAACCAAGTAAAATTCAGATCTTTAAAGAGTAGCTCACATTTGCCAAGAACAAGGTTTCAGTTTTCTTCTCTACCTGGCTGAGCCCGGAAAGGACACTGGCAAATTTTCTGTATTTTCCTGCAACAAGCAAGCTGATTAAATCTACTTTCTATTTAGCCTGACTTTGCACAGTATAAATTTTTTTTTTTTTTTGGTAAGGAAGTGTTAATTACAAGTGCCTGATACTGTAACTGGCCCATTAAAATTGTCATAGTGTTGTCCACTGATATTGCACTTAATTTAGTTGTTCATCTTCCCATTAACTCCACGCTTTAGGACAAGCTGGTGATGCTTCTGCTCGTTGGAGTGCAAATTTACTATATGGTTGATGTACAGTTCCTTGGTATTATCACATTCCGCTCATAGAAGAGCTGTTAAATTACTTAAATTGTTACAGAGATCCTGGGGTGGAAAATACATTGTTCACAGGCCCTTTTGAACACAGAAATGTCACTGGCTCGGCTCACAACTTCTGAGTACTCTGCAACAGATATATGGAAAGAGCTTTGAACACATTCTTGGTTATTCACTATTCACTGATGTTGGCTTTGATTCAGAAATTATCTTCGCTTAACACTGATATAAAGCTCAGAAGCTGTAGTGGGTGGTTATGTTGCTCATTGAGAACTGGCCCCTGAAAAGCTGAGAATGTATTGATTTTGCTAGGCATGCCCTGCTGCAGTCAGTTTTAGACTTTGTGCAACAGTCCTTTAAAGTTTTCAAAAAAGAGTTATCCAGATTTGTATCTTGAAGGAGCCTTTATCATTCTGCCTTGCCTTCCTTCCTTGTTTTCTTATTTTACTGTTCTATTGAGTATGATTAATCTTCTAAGTTTGTTCCTTACTCTGGCATTTTTTTTTTTTTTTTTTTAGTTTTGGGAATTTAGAAAGGTTTTGGCAGTTTATAACTTTTCGTGTGACTTTCTGGATAACTGCATTCACCTACTACAAGACAAAGTAAAATTTTAAAAGAACACAATAGATGAGCAATATCCTAAGTCTCTTAGATTGCATCTGTAGTACTACAAAAGTATGCCAGCAATATAAGCAAGAATTTAATTTTATAATTTGGATATTTTGCAAATATGAGTGAGTGCGTGATGCAACAGATTGTTGCATGCAGTGTGCTCTTTAAGCTCTGTAGCGTCACTACAAGTAAGTCCACGCACAAAGCTCTGAAAGAAATATTGGAAGGGATCCAGTCTATCTCTACTGCCTTGCACCAAATCTTAAGGCTGTAATACACCTTTCCTCACAATGTTTCCTCACCTTAGGAGAACAAGATCTCTTTCTGAGAGACTGTGGTTTCATTTACAATTCTTTTTGATTTTGTCCCCCTTATTTTGCAGGTGATTTTGAAGGGGGGAAAAGAACGTAGCACAGGAACTACTGCAGTCAACTCAGATTCCTCTCGGTCTCATGCTATCATCCAAATTCAAATTAAAGACATGGCCAACAGGGCATTTGGAAGGTAAGACCAGAAGCAGAAGTGCACTGTGCTGATGTCAAGCCCAGGGACATCCAAGAGACAAAGAGAAGGTGTTAGTGCACAAGTGTGAGCTAAATTAGAAGACAGAGTTAAAGGGGACTTCAAAAAGTTCCACAGTCCTTTCTCTGTTTCCAAGGAGAATGTTTTAGGCACATCTGCAAGAGCTTTGTCAAAATAGTTCATTCAAATTGCCAGCTAAAGAGTTGACAATCATTAGCTACCACACTGTCTTCTTTCCCAGGATCTAATTTTGAACATAAGGCAAAATGGAAGAGCCACAAACACTGAAGAGAGGAAAAGACAGAACAGGCAGGCTTAGAAATAAAAATATAGAGGTTTCTGTAGTTGTGGCATCTGAACTGGGGGGGTTTGTATGTCTAAAAGGGAGGTGGAGCTGAACTGAGGGAAGGATGCCAAGATGTGCCTATAAAAGAAGTCAGGGCTGTTGCAGAAAAAGAGGAAGGACAAAGACAAAGATACAGTGCAACAGTCAGTAGAGCAGCTGGCACCCAGAGCTAGGGAGTGTGAAAGGGAATAATGGAGTTTTGTGGAAAGAAACAACAGGGATCGATGAAAGCTCAGTGTATTACTTTCTACACTGGAAATTTCTCTTCCTATTGTCTTGAATTCCCATTTGATGTCAACAAACAGCAGTTGTCTGTTTTACCTGGGAGGAGAAATCAAAACACTTACAATTCCTTTTAGCCTTTTTCTTAGGAAACTACAAACAGTGATTATGTGGAGAGATGAATGTGTTGTACTTTACACAGCTTACCCGTTAAACTGTAGAGCAGTGTCATCACATGTAACTACACTTTCTATTATTTAATGTTGAGATGCTCTGAAATGGTTTCTGCTGCTATGCTTATTTTGGTGTCTCAGGTATTTCCAGTGGATGTTTCTTGTTGTTCAAAAGTAGTCATTTCTAATCACTCTTCTGATGCCATATGTTGCAGCCTGCTGGTTTAATAAAGAAAAAAAGAAGATGGAAAAAAAGCCCCTAAGATAACTGCAACTTTGTTTCTTCTAGGATATCATTCATTGACTTGGCTGGCAGTGAAAGGGCAGCTGATGCCAAAGACACGGATCGACAAACAAAAATGGAAGGAGTAGAAATAAACCAAAGTCTTTTGGCAGTAAGCTACTATTATGTCTAGGGAATGTTTTGAATTCAACTACTAGCATGTGTTTTAGGATAAAAATGAACCACAGAATAATGAATATATGCATTCCATTGAGAGGAAAAAATAACCAAGGTAGTATGTGTGTTCAGTTTAATTTGTCTGAAAAGTGACTGAAAAACAATTTAAGAAGGAAGAGATACCATTTTGAAAATTAAGTATTTTTAATCTATTCTTATTGCCAGACAGGTAAACACAGCATGGAAAATGTTATGTGTAGTATAAGTGTCCCATATTGTATATAGAAGGTTTTGTCCCTTCTAAGGAATACTGGCTTGGAATTGCCATGTTTGATTCATAAAACCTGCCAGTTATTTTTACCACTTAAACTTAGACTTCTATCTCAAATTAGGAATAAAATACTTAGGAGCATAAAAACTATCAATTTGTATGTATGAAGGAAGGAACAGGAATAAATGCACTCCTGAGGCAAACTGTTTTGATAAGTGTCCACAGTAAGGCAAAGAGGGACAAAGGAGCAGAAAAATGCCATCTACGATAAAGCAGAAGTGCCTGTAAGTGTAAATGCTGCAGAAAGGTTTGCATCTCCTGTAATGCAAACAAGTGAAGCTCAGTGGTGACTGGGGGCTTCTCTAAGTGAGGCTGAAGGTGATACAGGTTCCAGGGTATGAGCCAGCAGTGCAGAAGTCTACGCAGAACTGTACCTCTTAGTGTGCTGTAAATAGGAGGTGGCTTGCTCTGCTTTGGAAATGTAGATGCTCTTTTGCATAGAGGCTTTTCCTACACTGGAATATTTAGTATTTGTACTGGGGAGGTGGCCTGTGAAGTGAATGTGTTTCTGTACTTCATGCTTTCTTGAGTACTTGCTGGTGAATAACTGAGTGTCACAGGGTGTTGGTACCTGAATAGAAAGAAGTCTGATCTTGAAAGTCTTCTCCAGCCTAAACAATTCTGTGATTCCCGAGAATCCTGAGTGTAAGCCCATGAAATTCTTTTAAAAGAAACTCTAAAATCAGAGTCTGTACATTTTTGGTATTGTGAAACTAAGAAGATACTTGGACAGTCTACAGGTAGTGACTGAATTAAATATAAAAAACATCTTGGGTAAATCTTCATAACCTGTAGCCTGTAAAACCTAGCTCTGACCTCAATGATCATAACACTCTCTTCATAACACTCATGATCATAACACTCTCTTTTAACCCATGAGATCTGAAGTCTGCTGCTGGTTTGAATATTCATGTTGTTTTCAAGTGTAAGACTTTTAGACACTGCAACTAGGAGAGCCAGACTAAAGACTTACAATAGTTTGATCTCTCACTTGTTACAGGTATAGTTTTTAATAAAATGCTGTAAAAGTGAGAAATGAGTGTCATTTTCAGTGGGAGTTTGTAAAATATCGAAAGGCTGTCAAATGCTTCCTGGCAGTATCACTGTGATAATACTGTAATCTTCTATCTCTTTCCAGAAGAAAGAAAATATGAGAGCTCAAAAAGCTCTGTCCTTTGGGTACACCTGCCCTGCAAGCTGCAGCATAGTCTAGGCTACACCCAGTCTGGCTTCAGACTAGCTAGATGTAGTGCAGGCAGCAGCTCTGTGGAGCTCCACGCGTGCTAAATGTGTGTGCTGACCCAGCTCCTTGCATTTGGTGCAGCCCACAGAGCCATCAAGCAGGGCACAAATTGACCTTGCAAGGGACAACACGTAGTAGGAGTCAAAGTGACACAGGACCTGTGTAGGTTCCTTTTGATGCTCTTCAGGTCCTTGCCAGTGCATGACTGATGCATTTTTTTCCTTCTGTTTTTTCTTTTTTTGGTAGCTAAAGGAATGCATTCGGGCGTTGGATCAGGAACACACACATACTCCTTTCCGGCAAAGCACGTTAACTCAGGTAAAATGAGCAGAAAGGCAAGAGGAGAGGTTTCCCTGCTGAGGACCAAAATAAGAAAAAAATCAAATAAATAAATAAATAAATGTCATAGTTCAGTAACTGCTTCCTTTCTCGAGGAAGAGAGATTTTGAAATGCATAACTTTTGTAAATTTTAATTTTAAAGGTAATCACAGAGTTAAGCCAACTGCCAATTTCCTCCAGCCAGCAATGGGGACAGCCATGGGAAAAAAAGAAACAAGCCAAGAACTGAAACCAAACAAAACCCTAAACACCACCTTCCAGACTCATACAGAGTTACCATTCATCTCCCCACAGTCTGAAACTAATCTTGCATCTTCTATTCAGTTACTGTCTTGGGAGTTTTTATCAATATTTCTTGACTTCAGCTGTTAACATCTGCTTTATACCTCAAACCGTATTGGCACCCTTGAGGCATCTGGAACAAGGATTTGTTTAGAGTCCTAATTAATACTTGTTTTCATTTTAAACTGTAAACAAATAAAGACAAGAAAAACTGAGACAAGAGGACTACATTTATCCAAAGAAATTAAAAAGTACTACCTCATGTTGAATTTCTTTTGCAGCTGTTGCTAGTTTACAGGATGTGTGAGGGACATGAACTGCTAAGAGCCCAATTTTTTTTTCCTTCAAACCCTAGGTGCTAAAAGACTCTTTCATTGGCAATTCCAAGACATGTATGATAGCCAATGTTTCACCAAGCCACGTAGCTACAGAGCACACCTTGAACACTCTGCGATATGCTGACAGGTAGGAGGTGAAACTCGGTTCTTGCTAGGGTGAAAATCACAAAGTAAAAAGTAATGTGTGATGTTTGCCGTTACATTTTACTATACTTACATTGCAAAAGTCTATTTAAGCAAGAAACAGAATCTTTACAAAGCTAATAAAATTGTTACCTATCCCAACTCTTACATTTTGTCTTAAATTTTTGTGGGTATTGTAAGTACTTTCTGATGACCGCTTTCAGAGATTAAAAGATCACTGTGTGCCCTGTAACTGCAGGATTGACCTTAGCAGTCAAAGTTTTGATTTAGTTTTGTATTTTGATTCTACTTAGAATGTGTGTGAGGACTTCACCCTCCCTCCTACAGAGCAGGAAGTAAATTACAGGCTGTGCAGTGCTGATCTTAAAAGGTCAAGAGATAACTTGAGGGACAAGAGGAATAGAGGGAGCAGCTAAAGGTCAGGGTGGTAGGGGAAAGGGTGATATCAGTTAATCAGCTCTTCACAGCTGCACTGCTGAGTCTGATCCAGGAGCAGACTCACCTGAGCTAAGGAGTCCTACTGCAATTACTTGAAAAGTCCTACATTGAGCCTTGTGGGACCCTGTGATGTGCTGTGGAGAATACCAGCTTGTTCTGCTGCATTGTAATGTGTGGAAATGCCACTCCCTTGCACTAAAACTGAGGCCATTTCCACTCACTTGCCCTGCTATGCACTGCTCAAGGAAGCACTTAAAAAGACTGCTACAGATTTTTCCAAAAGTCCAGGCATTTTGGCAGAAGAGTTTTGATACCTGTGAAGATCACAGACAGAAAAGAAACGATGATGCTGAATTCAATATTTAGTCTTAGTATGTGAAAGCATAGATTTGTTCTGAAGATGCTGTTATTTATATGAAAGCATGACATTTTCTAAATCCACCCTCTTTTTTATAGGGTCAAAGAGCTGAAGAAAGGGATTAAATATCCTACCCCTGTCACAAAAAGGCATCGCAGAGCTGGAAATGTGTTTCCAAAACGTGTCCAAACCACTCCCTCTTTGCCATCTGGGGAAAAGAGCTCTCCAAAGAAAGTGAAGCTAGGCCTGCAGCATCCCTCAAGTGCTACAAAAGGAAGGGCGTATCCTGCACTACTTCAACCACCTGGTGTCCCTCTTACCTCTACCCCCAAGGGAACTGACAAAGGACATGCCTACAAAGGAACCAGAACTCCCTGCTTCCACCACACCACCCCAGTTAAGGGAGTCCTACGTATAACACATCCCCTGAAGAAAAATGATCTATCCCCCCACTCTGAAAAGAGCCCCACAGTGAAGGATTTCATTGCCACAGCAGAAACAGAAGAAAGTGGCCAACAAGACAAGTATATGCAAAACAGAACACCTGTCCAGTACCTGAAAGTCCAGACAGTGCAACCTCTTCAGAAACAACTTGTTCCTAGGGAAGATAATTCCTTTGGAGTTGGCAACCTGCCCTCTGACAGCGAACAGGAATGGGGAAATACTTTTACTAAACAGTCCGTTGGACCCTGGGCATATCTGCCTCCATATCAGAAGGAAAGGGAAAAGCATTTACGTCTTTATCACCAGCAGCTTCAGCAGCCCCCTATTCTAAAGCAAAAATTAAACTATCAACCCCTTGAGAGGTTTTTAATGCAGTACAAGCCCGAGGAGATTCAAGTGAAGCCAGAGCCGAGCCTTACTCTAACTGAAGTCCAGAGCAAAGAGTGGGTACAGCTGGAAGATGTGGATGACAGTGATTTCAGTGAAGATTCTTTCTCACCTGTCTGTAGTCAAAAGAGTGTGAAAAGAGGAAATAGCAACAAATCCAGTCCACATTCATTTTTCCTTCATGAAAGAGAGCGAGGATCCGAAGAAGAGCAAAAGTACAAGTCCAAACACAGACGTCTTGTTTACTCCAGTGAAGCTACCTTAACTCCAGAAAAGAATGCTTCAACCCCATGTGTATCTCCTGTATTGAAATCAGGAACTCCAGAGTGTAAAGAGTTTGATCTCCAGCATGAGGAGAAGGAAGAATCCACTTTGGATAAAGAGGCTGCCCTTGCAGAAGGAGGTGTAAAATGGAAAGCTCGAAAAAGTGGAGTTAGCCACTCTGTTTCTTCCATTGATTCCTCAGAATTCACCTCCGAGCTCATGGCCCCGCTCCTCGTGTTGCCTCTTGATGGTGAGGACACAACTGAAACAGAGAAAGCACCTTCCAACCAAGAGAAGCCCCACCACAAAAAGCAGGTGCTGGACAGTGATGCCCATAGCAGGTTTGAGGACGAGGGCTGGCAGTGCACCAGGAGCAGATCTCTGACTGACAGCATGCTGGATCCGTGGGACCAGTCCCAGCACGGGGAAAGGCTCTGTGTCCTGCTGGGCTCCTCTCAAGTCACACACAAGAAGCGCCCATCCACCTGTGGCCGTGTGAAGCCATGCTGCAGCCACCCGGGATCAGTTTTGTCCAAGCAGGGAGTCCGGCACAGTTCATTTGTTGGACATGACCTGACAGAAACATCCACAGCTGGATCCACAGCTGGGTCTGCCATCCCCAGGCCAGAGAAAGAGGGTGGGGGGCTTTGCAGTGACTCCCCCTTCAAAGAACACTCGGAAAGCAGACAGTGTAGTGCTGATATTAATCAGCATAACAATGCTGGTAATGCAGGGAAGTCTAACTCAAGTAAAGGGTCCAGTGCTGAGGAAATAAATGCTGAAATACCTGAAAAGAGCTATGCATCCCAGTCCCTCTCTCAGGACAGCAGTTGGCTGCTGCAGCCCAAGCCAGAACTGAGCAATGAGGACCTTACCCATACTGAAGACCCTTCCAAGTCATCCTTTGGCAATGAAGAAACAGCGTTGCTAAAAAGGAAGTTAAAGCAGAGTATTTTTACACTAGAGACTTTTGCTGCAGATGCAGGATTTGCAACCAAAGATAATAAGCCAATAGCAAGTGCAAAATGCCCCTCACACATGTCCAGGAGCAGTTCTCCAAGTGCTGCATCCAAGATGGGGAAAGGAAAATGGCAGAGGGAAGCCCTAGAAAAGGCACAGTAAGTCTTGCTCATCATGAAGTTTGTAGTAAAGCTTAGAAAATCTGGACATGTGATACACTTGCCTTTATGCATATGTCATACTCATATGTACTTCAAAAAACAGTTGTTAATCATTCTATTAAATAATTACAAGATTAATCATAGTTTGTAGTAATTATCTTAAAAGTATATAATTGCTTGTTATTTAGTGATATTTTAATACCTCACAGGAAGCCAATTATATTAGAGCTTCTAGGATAATACTAGAGGAATAAATATTCTAATACAAACTGCAGTTCTCAGTAATTAATTGGCTTACTATAAGCTGTAAAGTACCTAAAATATATCAAAACTTTCCATCAAGAATCAGCTGTTCCATCAATGAAAAGAAAAGCTGGTAGAGCAGCTGAGCAGTCACTGAAGATGTAGATATAAAGCTTCTGAGTACTCTGAGCTGCCATTGTCAGCTCCCAGGGACTGGACTGCATTCTTTTGATGGAAAGGACATTGTTAGTGAGTGAAATTTGCTCAGAGGAACCAACAGCAGCACTGCCTTCCTGCTCAGCCTGTTGCTCACTGGAATTACTTACATGGCTATAAACCATTTCACCTATTAATTAGGCAATTGTACTCCTTGATTCTCCTACAGTGAAAAGCAGTTGTGTGCTGCCTGTGCTAAAGGCAGGCTGTGGCCACTCCTCTGTGAGCAGCCCTCAGTCACCCAGCTCATCCTGAAGCCCACACCAGTGCAGTCCACTGCACTTCACGGAGCACTGGTGTGTCCTTCCCGAGTAGCAGGGACACAGGATAGCAAGGCTTCCTCTGGCATTTTCCTCTTTCTTGAAGGTTTATTGAGGCCAGCTGTGATTACAAGCAGTGATTACGCTACAAACTGTGTAACCAGTGTGTATTTTTGTTAATCAGAGAGACTGTAATTCGTGCTCATCAGCAGTACCTGGATGAAATGGCAGAACTGTGCTTGAAAGAGGAGTGCTTGATAGATCAGATGTCAGAAATGGTAAGTATTTCATATTATGGTTTTGGAGCCTGCATAAATTAATCTTGGAGATTATTAACATGAATTGCTGATGTGATGTTCCTTGTCAGTTGAAGCCCTTTCTTAGTCCTGGGAGAGGCCTGTAATTTTCAGTGTATTGTGTCTGCCAGTATCCAGTCTGACAGGCCCTTGGGAAGCAGGATATGGATGGGCCAACCCTGAAGCCCTTGTCTCTGATAAGAGAGCCTTCCCTTATCTCGCATCACAGGGCAAACTGTACCAGACAGGCCATCTGTCCCTGTCATGTTTTAGTTCTTGCAGGCTGGGACAAGTAAGCCAACACCACAGAACAGAGCATACCCCTAGAGCAGGACAAGGATGGAATTTGGCTCTTCCCTCTGGGAGCCTCTTTGCCTATCACGCTGCAGGTGTGCCAACCACCTGGGCCTCACTTACTCCAGTGTTCTGACCACTGTGGCTTGTGCCTCACATGCTCTTGGCTTTGGTTACTCAAGTGTTTCTTGGCTTCTCTTTGCCTCCGATGACAGTGGTGTACCCTAGACCTAAAAACTTGCACCTGCATGGCCCCACTGCTAGCTAGGCAATCCCAGTTCTTTTTTTCTCCTTTCATCTATCCCAACAGATGCATGTTACACCTATGTGAAAATCCAGACAATGAACATTTTCCAGTAAGAACTCCTGCCTTCCCCATTCTCTCACCTTCTCAGTAAAGCCAAGCTCCATTGCTATATTGCATTATCAAACCATTTCAATTCCTGAAATCACAGTTCAGATCTGAAGTACAGGGACCCTGCCCTCAGGGACTTTGGAGTGGGGCCACCATGTGGCTTATTCACTGATTTCAAGCTGCATATGCTGTTTTACAGATAACACACAGTTCACAAAGCAGCACAAGAGGCATAAACTGTTTTAGTTTTGTGGCAGACAGTGCAGTGAAACAAAGCTATCTTTCTTCTTCTGAATTTTTTTCATCTTCTGAGATTGTTCTTAAGTCTGTTGGTCACTGGACACCAGCTCTACTCCCACATTTATTTGCCTCTTACAGCAAGCAGTTATTTCTGGCTAGCAGAATTCTTACAAGCTTGACAGGCCTTCCAGCAGTGCGTGAATAACATACCCTGTAGTTTTATTTCACAGCATGGCCTTTCTAAGGTAGTGAAACGTGCTTGGGCTTCATGCATCAGCTTCTGTCCTTCCATTTGAGATGGTTTCAACTTCTTCAGCTGTGAAACTTTGGCTGCAGGAGAAACTCCTGGCAAGTCCAGCCACACACTTAACAAAGCAATATTTAAAGTGCTTAAGAAAAATGTGCCACAGCAGCTGGGCTAGTCTTCATCACTGTCCTGATTTCCCTGCAGGACAGAGATATAATGCAGGGAAATCACTGCATACACCTGAAGATCACTGAGATACAGCTGGAGTATTGCCACATAAGCTTTTGCGTGATTGATTTTCATACACAGCAGCTGAATTTCCCAGCCCTGGGGATGCTGACACCTCCCAGTTTCTGAGGCCCAGAACTGTGAACAAAGGCACCAAACTACTCTCAGCTGGAGAGCAGAGCATGTCCAAGTGCTCCCTTATTAATACAAGCCCTACTTAAAAAAGGATCAAAACTCCCATTTTTTTGGAGTTCCAGTTCCATACTGGTTTTTTGTCCGTGTGGCTATGAAAGGTGGAGTTCCCTGGGCTGAGGCAGGATACAGTGCTGATATTGCTCATGGCCTGCAGCCATGGCCCCATGACCTGATGGGAAAGAAATCCCTTGCATGTCTCAAGATTGGGCTCACTCAGCCTTTATTTTCCTAATTGATAAGTCCAGCATGAGAGGTGTCAGGAGCAGAGTTCTGTACATGGTAAAACCAGGTGACCAGTCCCAGTACCAAACCTTTGAAAAGCTAACCAGAGTAGAAAAGCAACAGCAGCTGCTTTATTTTTGTTTTTAAGCCACTACATGAGCTGTAATTTCACCAACAGACAAAACTACCAGAGTCAGTGAACCTCGCTATTTAGAAGCACTGACCTTTGTCTGTGAGGGCTGTGACTTCAATGAGGAAATGCTGATTTAATCTACCAGTCTGCAGAATGCTTTTACGTTCTGCTGCAGTGTAAAAAATACACTGATGTTTTCAACCTGTTAATACTGTTCCCTACTGCTTCCTTGTGCCTTCCTCACCAGGATTTTCAGGATTTCATGACCATACTGGATGAAATCTTGGTGCTGAAGTTCGAGTCTTCCCAAAAAATGCGAGCCTTGCTTCAGTTTTGTTCAGCCTCCCTGGGTACTGAAACATCACTGCGAACACGTCCACTAGTTTAGCCCTTCTTTGCTTCCACATGCACTGGAGCAGCTACAGGAAACCCCAGCCAGCACTTTGCTACACTTGGTGCTGCAGAGTGTGGGTGGTAGGGGACAGCTTTGGGTTTGATATTTGTGACTAGTGTGTGTTTTATATAAGGATGCAGAGAATTCTAAACAAATGAGAGATGACTAATTGGCAGCGTAAGCTTTGTATTTCATTAATACCAGTAAGGCACATTCTGAACAGTAACAATTCAGCAGCCTTTATCTCGCCAAGTAGCAGGCAAGGCAGGTAATGTATCATAGCAGCTTCTCACATGTTAAAGGCAATCCTGTGTTGCCAAGTAAGGGAAACAACTTTGAAGCCAGATACAGGTCAGAACAGAAATGCTCAAAAACTACCCAGAAAAGTCTTTGCAAACAAAAGCCAGGAAAGTGAGAGGAGCCGGGGGTTACACTAAGGTGCCTGGACCTTAAGTATTTGGAATAAAAGGCAGGATGTGAAGTGCTGTCAGTTTCAGAAGAACAAAACATATTGTTGAATTAGTGCTTGGGATGAACCCTCCAGAGCTCCTGAAAGAGATGGCTTTAAGTTATGGGTAAGGAGTGGTTTAGCAGGGACTTCCTACCAGATTCCATCTGGCATGTTAATAAGCACATGGGTTTCATGCTGCTGCCCAGAGGAAGACACCAACAGCTGCACCTGCTGCACACCACATCTAACACCTGCACTGAGCAGAGCTGAGCAGATTTCTTACATGAAAATGGGGTCTGCTTGGAGGCACTGGCCTTTGAGAAGCTGCTGACAGCACTGTTATGTGAAACTGGTATTTGGGTCAAGAGCTACGGAGCCATCAGCTGGAGCTCTGCAGAAGTCCTGGTGCTGCATGCATCACCTCGGAACCACAAAGCCAGTCCACTTGCTTTGAAGGCACAAGTGACCTTGAGATATGCTTGCTGACAACATGCTGTGTGAGTGCTCCCACTCCAAAACTAGGGCTGGCGCAGCACATTCATCCACCTCTGTGTCTTCTCAGTAATGTCTGTGGTAGCTTGTTCAAAGCCCGCAGGGGAGCCAGAAATGCCAAGGGGAATGGAACACTGCTGTTTGACTAGCTGTGGGTTTTGCTGCCTGCCTGCACAGCCTCCCTGAGGAGCCCAGGTTGGGCTGAGCGGCAGGACAGTAATCACAGTGACACTCTGGGATGCATATTGGGTGCAAGCACTCCCAGGAATGTCACCCAGCATAGACCTGGGCAACAGAAGCAAATCCCGCATCACTGCCCTGACTGTTGAGTTGTTTTTAGCACTGGTTGGTCTCCATCTTGCAACTGAGACTGGATTTCTCTGTGGAGCAAAGAGCAGAGTTTCTCTAGGAGTCTGAGGTTATGGCTCTCAAAATGGTTCCTGTGTCCTGGTCACAGGCCAGCAGCAAGACACCTGAACCTGGCTCAGAAGCCTCCCTCACTCACCCAGGGAGATGAGGCATCCAGGAGCAAGACTCAGTATTTCTGCATGGCACAGAGCAGTGGTGCCCGACAGCCACCAGAGAGCTGTAAAGCAGTGGGAGAGCAGCACTCTGCTAAAGCCAGATAGGGAGGAGCAAGTGTTTAAAACCACCAATTCCCTCCACTTCCTGCGGCCAGCAAGAGCTTTCCTGTGAGTAAGGTGAGGGGAATAAAGGCAGCTGGGTAGTCCTCCTGATAGATGTTAGTTTCCCCCAGCACATTCTCAGCGAGCATGCAGTAAACGCTGCTGTCAGGGAGCACCTGAGGAGTTTGGCAAGTCTATTTGGAACCAAAGAAAAGGTCAGACAGGTCACAGGAAAATGTGATGCCCAGTCAGAAACTGTGCAAGGAAGGAAAATTTTCCCTTTATGTACTCTGACATTTGGGAGATGAGGGTTGGTTGATCACTCAGGTTTTTAAAAAGCAGCTGAGCAAAGTATGTTCACAGGCATTTTGAGTGTCTTACAGAAGACATTCCTAAGCAACACACAAGAATCATTTGCACAACCACAATGCCATGTCCTAACCTCGGAATTTGCTGGCACAGTCGTGAAAAGACAGATGAGTGACCAAAAATTTCTGTGAGCAGAGGAGATGTGAATTAAGTCAGCCTGCCAGATGGGAGCCACAATAGATCAGAATCCCCTCTGATCTATTGTGAAAAAAATCTCTGGCAGATCTGAGCCCCAGCAGCAATTCCCAGAGCAGGAACTATCTGCTCCCTCGTGGAACGGCCAGGGACACTGAGAAACAACAAATAATCAAAACAACAACCACACATAATTTTCCAGTGTCTGATACAATTATTTTTAAACAGGTTATCCAGCCAATCCACATGACTATATCTTCTTGAATATTTTATTATGTCTGTTCTCCAAATTTTATTTTCTCAACTGAAGGTGAGATTTGACCAAAATACAGAAATAAAGCATGTGTCTGTGAAAAGCAGCCCATCCTTGGCAGTAACATGGACATGCTTGAAGTGCTGCACACCCCAAAGATTCAAACAGTGTGTGCCTTACATGCAACAGAAACTATCCAGCTGTTGTCAGAAATGGTAAGATTTTTCTCTCCCCTTTGAGGTTCATTACCTAGTTGCTACTTTAATTCTTGTGTGAAAATGTGCTAAATGAGCATTTTAAGTGTCATCCCCTTCCTACTGTTTGATATTTCACTGACAACTGCTACAAAAGGTTTTTACTTCAACTTGAATATGCGTTAAAGTGTCGTAAAAGCAATCTAAGAGATTTAGAGAGCTTGGTCATGTACCATCAAATAAACACATAACTAAAATGGGTTCACTTTTTGTATTCAGATGCAACAATGACAATGCTTATTAGCAAAGGCTTGATACTTTATTTCGGTAGTTAGCAGAATTTAAAATAAAATTCAGTTTGCTACAGCACTCTGGTAAAAATCATTTTAGGTCAACATGATCAAAATGCCCATTTGATTGCCTGCAAAAGATTAAGTGGGGCTGGAAACGTGTAGGAGCTCCCCTTTTCACAGGACTTGCTGATGTGGCGAGTTTCAGGAGCCCTGACCCACAGCTGGACTGACCCTTCCCGGCCTGGAGAGCAGCCACAGAATGCTGTTGACAAGGGCTCTGTGCTTCAGCAGATCTGCAGCAGAAGCCACGAAGCCAGGCAAAAAAGGCCCTGGGGCAGCTGCCATTCTCACTGCCCGACTGCACGATCAGCAGCCCTCCGCCACCATGGGAGTGAAGGATGGCTCTGCAGTATCAGAGCTATTTCAAGGCTGCTGTTGTCCAGAACCAGCAGGAGGCAGCTCAAAGATGCTCTTGGTTGAATGCACAACCACCAGTTTAGGCACTGCCTCTACACTTCTCACCAGCCTTCCCACTCAGGCACACAAACCTCAGACAGAACCTCCGACAAAGGCAGAGCAGGGATATAAATCAATGTGACATGACAGCCTAAGGAAAAGCTCCAAGGTCGTGAGTGTGACCGGGGCTGCAGCCAATTTTCTCACTAGCCAGGAGCAGGGCAGAGCCCAGCCTTGCTCCAGCTGGCAGGACCTCCCCCACCCACAGTGAACGGTGCCTGGACAGAGCAGTACCAGATAAACAAGTACTGCACAGCACCCCGAACACTGAACTCTGATAACATGGGGGTTCCTTGTTACACATCCATTCAGCAATTCCTGTTTTCCAAGCCACCCTCTTAATCCCCTAGCTCTGTGGTACTTTCTTCTCTGAGATGCCATTGTAGCAATACGTGTCATGCCTTCAGCCACCCAAGGATTTAAATACAGAAATGTCACTGCCAAAGGAAGAGTAGCGTCACCAGGGCAGACTCGGGTAAGCACAGCTCTGAGGTAAGACGTTGCATCTTCCCAGCTGCCACTTCCCATCGCCACCTCCACAAGAGCTCCAAAAGCAGAGTGGTTATTCTGTGGGGTTAAGAGCAAGACCTCAGAGGGGACTTTGAGAAAAAAACCCGCACACTAATACAATCAGAAATTATTTTATTCAGAGGTTTGCTCTAAATAGTTATTTCTTTGCTGGCCAAGACTTCGTGCCCCTTCAGGACCACCTGGTACCAGACAGGGACTTACTGGGGTAGCAGTTCTGAGAAAACCAGAACAAGCAACACAACCGAATGCTCACAGCAGTGATGGTGAAGCAGTTTGAGTTTTGTTTTCAAGGTTTTCCAGTTAATCAGGAACCCCATTTCCCCACTTCACTGTTGCATTTCTCACCTGGGAAGGATGAAAAGCTGGGCATTCATTAACTGCACTCAGAGAAGCAGCAGCTGCTGTCCCACCAGCTGCTGAATGTGCTTCTTAGACAATCTTTATTTCAGCTCCACCACTAGAAAATGGTGAAGGTCAACACTACGGGGTATGTGCAAGGCAACCTCATCATCCCTCTCCACATCTCCTAGATACTTGACAGCAGATCTCTCTCTTGCATCATTTTGAGTAAACATTTAATTCACACAGTTGGGCACCCCACAGAGAATTCCAGGAGTGCACACTGAGCCCAAATTAGATGTTTTGGTCATAGAAAGTTAACAACATAATAGAGACAAATGCCATCTCCTTTGGAGTCCTGATGAGCTGAAACCTACCACTGAAAAACCTACACTGATGCAATGAGCCGAGACATTTTGCCCTCCAGCAGTCCAACCCTCCAGCTCCAGGCTCTAAGATGAGTTTTGATCCCTATGCTGGGGTTTTGCCACAAACCAAAAATAAGCCACAGAGAAGCACAGCACCTTCTACCACTGCAGCTGCAGCCCAGAGACCTCTGGTTGTTCTGCCCAATAGTGTTCACTTGTTCCGACAGGAGCTGGCAGCACCTGGGCAGGCAGGATCCAGCAAGGTGAATCCGTCTGCTGAAGCCAAAGAGCATGAGAGATGGGAACCATGACACTGGGAGTTATGTTTCAGGGTTTTATTAGTTGGTCTTCTGCAGAATCAAAATATTTAGCAAATTAGAGATTCCTCAAGACTGCTGATATTTCATGTATTTAAAACTTGATCAGTGTACAAACGTAATACTTTGAACTATCAAAAACAACCCCCAACCTGATTTGTAGTACTAGATATTATGTCATTCTATAGCAGTGTGAAAAATGGAACTAATGCAGTGAGTATATTTGTTTTAAAGAAAGTGCTTGAAAGAAACCTCCTGCATTACACTGTCTATTATTTAAAACAAAAAGATTAACTGACTGTCTTAACAGGGCATTATCTTAAATATCCTACAAGCCTGGGAGATTAAAAATACTGAACCCCAGCTCTCTGCCTTCACCTTCAAGAACCAACACAAGTTGGAAGGTCCAGCTTACCTGCTTCAAGGGAACCTTACCACTCAGCATTGGATACTCATGTCTGGCAGAAGTGTTGGATGCATGGGTAAAAAATAAAATCCAAGAGGACAAAAATCCCAAGGTTCTCTCTTTATGCATAGTGACAGTTTCTGAACCAGTGTTTTACTAAGTTACAGACTAACTTTCAACCAAAAAATAAAACTCCATTGCACTAAAGGTCAAATTTAACCAGGTAATCTGGACTGTGACACAGTCAAGTAATTCAGTACAAGCAGACAAGACACCAGGAAAGCAGCTTCAAAGAACCAAAGCATCCTAGTTTCAGAACCAACTTAATATTCTTCTGTCCAACTCCAGTGCAACAACGAGGGGGGAACCACTCCATCTCTACCTATGTACAATTCCAGTCGAGGCTGGGCAGTCTCAACTTTCCATGGCCAAGCTGGAAAAAGGAAACTTAGGAAAGGACACTTTAAAATTTAATTTAAGAATGAAAGTTGGCCCTCATTGGAAAGAGAAATGCTGGAGTGATGCACGCAGGCAGGCTTTTCAGTCACTCTCCCTTCTACGCAAAAAGCTGAGAGCAAGTCACACTGGATGTGAAGGTGGCAGGGCTGGTCCTGCTCCGTTGCACGCCAAGAATCCAGGAATGTGTCTTTAGCTGGCTCCTGCACGGGCCATTAGATCTTCCAAAGCACTGTGTTGGTCGTTGTTGTGTAATAATAAGACCTCCTTAATGTCTTTGAGTTCAAAGCCCATTTCTTTAAATTGACTCATTAATTGGAGAAGCTCTGTGATCTGAAAGATGGATAGATAGCCTGTTATTTGCAAGAGAAAAGTGGATGGCTCAGTGCTTGGTGGAGGTTTAGCACAGAGCCTGTCTTCAGCAGCATGACTGTGGATTCCTCCTCCCCAAGCACAGCCCGTTCCAGCTCTGTTGGGAGAAAGTCTGCTCACACCAGAGCCACCAGAGCTCTGGGCACAGCAGCCCACAGGGACCTTCTGTCCCCTCTGTTTGCCATCCTTCCCTTCCAAAGCCCTCTCCAACCAGGGCACCAAAGCTCAGTCTGCCAGGGTGTGTCTCTCAGGATATTTACCAACCTGGCCCAACGGGGAATCCCAAAAATGCTGTTTAATGGCACCCAGCTGCCCCATCCAGCAGCTCCTGCTGCACCCAATTTCTTTTAAAGTTACTCGGACTTCAGGAACAGCGCAGTAGCCCTTGCTATCAATTGGCTTCTCAGATCTAGGGCAAAGTTGGGGGATTAGCACAAACCCCACTGTGTACATATGGCATTTCCAACATCAACTCTAAATTGTCCCTGAGCTTTGAAAAATAAAATGGTGAGAAGTGAGCCAGCTGATCCCTTTTATGAACCCTCTGCCATTTACAGTACATCTGCTCCACTCCAGGGGAAGGAAAAATCCCAAACAAGCAAGCAGGTTGAAATGGGCAATTGGGAGATTAGCAATTTCCAATTCTGCGGCTGAGCCAATAAGCAAATGGATTTCTCAAACTCAAGTTACTTTCCATCCTCACACTGCTATTGCTCTGTTTACAAGATGATCACTTGTCCAAGAAAGACAGGAAGACATATCTATGTTTGAGGGGATTGGGTTGCACCTTGAAAGACTTCATGTAATAAACTGTCACACTATCGGCTGGCAGACTTTACAAGATCCTCCTGTCCTCTGCCCTTGCTTGCTGCTCTTGCTGTACCTTTGGTGCTGGTAAAGCAGCCAGACAGAGAACCAGCTCCCAACACGTGCATTTTCTAGCTTCTTCCAGAGCAAGCCCTAACCCAATTTGCTGAGCAGCCAGGCAGATGCACTTGTACAAGGGAGAAAATTCATGGCCAGGGCAGGCTGGCAAGGTTTGCAAGACAATTTGCTGCTGCTGAAATCAAGTGTATCTGTACCACGCACCTTGCCCACAAGAGAACTCTGGGCATTCAAAACAATAGGACCACAATAAGCAGGATCTTTAAAAAATCCTGTCCCCATAAAAATGGATGCAAATGAGACTAATAGAATGGCACTGACAAATTCTAATGCTTTAACAATTTTTAGCTTTATCAGCAAAAAGGTGTCGTTTGGCAGTCAGTTGTGGAAACAAGGCAGCATTACCATGAAAGCCAGAATTACATCAACCAGAAGAATTGCTGCTGGAATTCCCTGTCATGGCACATTTTTCTATTTCTGAACACACTGCACCCTCACCTTCTCCTCTGAACACTGGTGCATTTCCAAAGCTGCTTCAACAAGAAGTGGATCAAAGCCCTTCTCACAAAGCTGTCCATGTGCAAACAGGTAATCCAAAACCTATGGGGAATTAAGAAAACAAACTGTGGTTGCAGAGAGGCACTTGCAGCAGGCAGCTGAATGTCACGTTGGTACATGCAGAGGGCTTGAGCATGATTCTACCCAGCATTTCACCAGAGACAGAGATACACTCCTTCCTAGCAGAGCTGAGACATTCCTTATACAAGAGCTTGTGCAGAGAAAGCAGGCAAACCCTTCTGTTCTGCTGTGCTCTCTGACCATCCCCTTCATTCTAGTCAAAGCAGCCTCAAAAGTGTCTCTTTAGACCTCTGATGGCAGAGCAGAAATTTCACTACACTTTTTATACAACGAGTTTTAAAAATGAAACTGTACGTCCAGCAGCCAGGACATGTCTACTTTTAGCTTCCTCTCAGACAGCCACAAGAGCTGATGCAATCTGAGAGCAGTCAGCCTTTGAAGATAAACTCAGCATACTGGCAAGTGAGCTGCAAATCCCAGCTCATGCACACAGAAACTGCTGCCAAATTTCTTATCCATCATCAGCTTTAAGGGGAAGTGTCATGTAGGCAATGTTAGGTATGTGAACGAACAGCGCTTGCAAGTAGAGCAGGATTTAAAACCGCCCCCTTAAAGGACCTTTTTGCCATCTGATGCCACAGTTCACTCCAGCACACAGCTTAAGCTCTATGTAGGGAGAGGGCCAGCAGATCAACCCCACAAGCAGGAGTCCCTGGGGCAAGCTCTGTGCAGCACACAGCCTGCTGAGGCCAGCACAGGAGGCTGGGCCATGTTCTCCCACTTTTAAGTGTTTGTTTGAAGCAGATCCAAGAACCATGCTTTGCCCAGCAGCACTTGGTGCCAAATGACCTGGTTTGTGCAGGCAAGGGAGGCAGAGCTCAAGCAGGAAGGAGCAGCACCAGGGCACACGCAAATCAGTCAGTGGGGGCCTTGCAGGAGCCTTTCAGAGCTGTCTTAGGCCTGCAAGGGCCACTCTCTCTACAAGGAGAGATATCAGTGTTGTAAAGCCTTGTGCTCAGAGAAGGGAAATTGGCTGGATTTCTGTGTCATGTGGCTCTTAACATAGCACAGAGCAATGCTAAGCTTCATTTGGATGTGTTTGTGGCTCTTGGGGAGACCCAGACTCTCTCTCCCTCCAATTTCACACAAAGGGCCCATCCCAAACTCAGCATGGCTCCAACCCAGCACCCGCAGGTATGGCTGACTCTAGCAGTCTCTCACTAGAAATAAGCACAAGCTTTAGGTTGCAAAAACTAAATTGGAGTGACAGGATTTCCCCCATCCATTTTGCAAACCCAAGACAGCTTCCCAGCAGAACCAGCATCCAATCAAGCACTTCTTTGCACTGCCTGAACTCTTACCTGATCTATGTTCTGTCCCTTCTTCCTCATGGCTTTCAGGACATTCTCAGGTGAGTAGCCCATGTTGACCACAGTCTCCACACAGTGCCTCTCACTGGGGGAGAGGCCCTGCTGCAGCTCGGCCGCGAGACCGCCCGGCCACTTCGTGCAGCTGCTGCTGTTGGACACTTTAGACACTGCAAAGTTTTGGTGTGTTACCTAAGGAGGAAAACCCAGAGGCTGAAGTGATGGTCATCTCCTGCACCCCCACATCCTGTTTCTGCCGAGTACCAGAACCAGCATATCCCATGCAATTAATTCAAAAGGTTTTCTAGAGTGCCCTTGGGAAGTTACACACTGTGAGGATGAAACCAAGTAGCCTAATTCCCACCATACTTTTAACCCTCAAAGCAACAATCAACAACCCACATTCTCCACAAAGAACTCTCTCCTACTGGTGTGACCAAAGCCTTTAAACATCCAAGCCCTGCAACATTGAAGGCTGGGATACAGCCAAATCATGCACCTCAAAGGAAGTACAGATTGCTTTCTTCACTTCAGGTTTACTCATGACCTGTGTTTTTCTGTACTCAAAGGAGCACCACTTACCAAGATTACCATACACACGATCCAATGCAAGCAAACACACAGGTGTATTTGGAAACTTACCACAGGGATTTCTGTTTCCTGGTAGTCTGGGTGTACCTGCTGGACAACACACAAATAAAACAAGTATAAACATCATGCACCAGTCAGCAGAATTTGCCACAGCTGGGGGAGAAGGGTTTTACAGAAGATTCTACCACAGGATGGGAGACTTTAGGGCTGATCAAGTTTCCACATATGAGATGCTGACATTACCCATTGCCTGCAGCTATAGAATCTTCATCATCATAAGGATCATTCCTCCTCTCAGCACTCCACAAACGGATTATACTCCAAGAAGGATGTGTGTACCCCCACAGTAATTCTAAGATTGTTTATTCTGTCACTGTAGCAGCTGCTTGTTCACACAGCCCCAGTTCAGTTTCTGACCAGGTCTACATTGCCTGAATAACAGTGATAATTTTGAAGTCATTGCCTAAAGTCTTCTTTGGACTTTTTGCTTATGTGAAGGGGTAAGAGAAAATACACCTCTTTTCTATTCACTGCACTGAACTCCATATACCACATAGGAACAACGTGCCACATTGGCTCAAAAGAACACGTGAGTTTTCTACCCAGCACTTGTCCCACTCCTAGCGCACCAGCAGGGCTGGGTCATGTCCCCTGCTGTGCACCTGCTCTGCTTCTGCAGAACCACCCCACCACTTTGTACAACCTTGCCCAAGTTAACAGCAGTGCAAAGTCAGGCCTCAGCCTCACCAAAGCTATACATTTCAGTTCAATACATTTAGAACTCTTGCACGTTAAACAGAACAGACTGCAAGAAATCACTGTGGACCAAGAACCACAGTTTTTAGCATTTCTTAATATTTATTATGTCAGCACTGATTGCTTGAAAGGTTGTCCACATCCTTCAGAAAGGCCTTCTTAGTGCCCAAACTGAACAACAAAAAACCCTCTATAAAAAACCAGTTCTGAAAAGATCTAACAGGATTCCATTTATTTGCAAAAAGATCCCAAACTACCACCCAGGAGGTCTTCTTCTGCATTCCTGAACATCTTCCAGGGCGAGAATTTCTCTTCTAGAAAACCAACCCTGAGACATCATATTCATTCTGATGCACTAGCATATCCAAGAACCTAGTCTCATGGTGTGTTTTTCAGACACATCCTCTCTCCAGACACTTTTTCAAGGGCAAAAAGCACTGGAATATAGGATAAACTGAAATAGGGAAAACAGCTAGTGGGTTATCAAACAGAAGGATGATGCTTTGTTATTGATGCTGCAGCTGGAAAACCAAAACTGTTTCTGACACCAGAGATTTAACAGTCTGGGAAAGTCAGCTCCTCCTACACAATCTACTTGAGTTTAATTTCAATCTGCTGTCTTCATTAGTCATAGCTACCTCTGTTAAAGCTGCAGAAATCAACATACTGAGATTCAAGAAAAAATAAAAATGAGGAGAGAGGGCCACCACAGAACCTATGCAGCCTTAGAGAAACTACAGATTTATTTCATCCAAAGATTCCTATATCCAATTCAGTGATAAAGCAAAAACTCCCATGGTAGCCGCAAATTCAATGTTACAGTTTCTAATCTTGTGAGGAAAAAAAATAAAATCACCGTACAATACATTTGGATATGAGCCTTCTGCTCCCAGCCACAGAGATGACTGTGATTTCATTCTACTGTTTTCATACTCTGAGGAGTTTTGTTACATTTATTTAAATTATTTTGTTGCATTTACTTAAATTTCTCACATATCAGCAATCATTTTCCAGTGGAACTATACTGTGGAAGTATAAACCAAGTATAATCTGAAGTCCTGGAATTTAAACACAAAGAACTAAATTTCATCAGCATAATTATTTCTTGGTTCACTACTTCCAAAGTATAAATAGTTTCAAATTAATGAATTAATTTTATCACTTCTAGTAAGTCTATTTTTTTCCCACTTTGCATCTTCCCTTACAACACTGTCAACAGTACACTTTCCCTCTTGGTCTTTAAAAAATTTTAATTCAGCAGAGAGATTTGAATAGTTTTGAGTGTAAATTTAGGCATCTTAATGCCATTCTTATCTAGTTGTCAGTGATCTTACATCCCCAGAGATGCTATGTGCTCCATAACTAAGATCACAGAGGCCCCCTCACACCTGTGACCTGCAGCAGTGAGCAGGTGCTCAGCACACAGCTGCTCCTGTCAAAGTTAACAGTATTGAATTTGCTCCAGTCATCAACAATCAGCTGTTCTGCTCTACTCTGTCAGATACACTATCTCCCAGAATATTGTATTTCACAATTATGAGTGCATTCATCTAACCCTGAAAAGAACTGGAAGGACAAAAGGGGGGAAGCAGCATCAATTGTTTCACACCACATGGTGTCAAACAAAAACCTACAGCATGACACTAAAACCACAGAATCACTGAAACACTGCCTATATTGGACAGAGAAAAGAACCTAGATTATTTTAGAACAAGCAAGAGGATTTGAATACACAGCTTTCACTAGGCTTCGTGAGTACTGGTATCCTGATATGCAGTTCTTCATAAAAAAACCCCACATGCTTACTCTAATCTCTGTTCTTATTCACAAAGAGACAAAAAACAACACCTGATATGAAGCTAGTTTTCTCAAGGTAATTTCAGAACTCACAACGAGATTGACTCTTCATTTCGTCAATCTCCCATCTCAGAACTGTATGGTGACAAACTGTAACATTAAAAATACATGACAATGTTCAAGGCTGATTTTGGTCTCCACTAAGCAATGACTCCACCCTTCTTCACAAGAAAGGGCAAATACAAGATTTCACATCACTATAATTTTTTTCCTGTTAAAAATTAGGCTTTTAAACGATCTCAGGAAGAAAATCAAAACTAAAAAAAAAAACAAAAAAACAAAACAAAAAAAAAAACCAAAAACAACCCACAACCCCAAAGACTTACTTCACTGTAGATCAACTGCAAGCACTTTTTTCTTCCCCAAATGACACACCACATCTGTGTGTTTTAACCTATTATTACATCTATTTCTTGAGAAGCCTGCATTTCCCATTATTTCCAGCAAATAAACAAGCAAACCAAGGAACAAAACCAGAAGAGATTTGATTCAGAGCCTAACAGCACTTCAGAATCTCATATATCTCATCTGGGTAGGACAAAATGCAGGGCTGTACGGAGAAGATGCCTTATTTGCTTAGCTCAAAGGCATGCAACTCTCAACAAAAAATGAGAGCTGAAAAAACAATCACTGTATTTGGTCTAAAAATGTCAAATTTGGGTAAAATTCAGGGTAATAATCTGAGGATCAGAACTACCACCACAAACGCCTGTTTGATTGATCAATTCACCATGTAAATTAAGAGGATCTATAATTCACTCCTAGTAAAGGAAATTATAACCAGAGCAACAGCGCAATTTAGAGGCAAGAGCTGCCTCTGCACTTCCACCTCTCACCAGCAACCCCAGTTTGACTCCACTCCATGTTTACCGTAGTTGATGTGCTTTGAGATGATTCTTCTTCTGTACAAACAGTCGAAACAGCTAGGGAAGACAGCCTGGATGAAGAGGATACTGTCTCTCTGCCACTGTCCTCATTTAGAGCGGAAAGACCAAGCATATGGTGTCCATTCAGTTCACTGGCTTTGCTCTGAGCACAGGTCTGCAAAGAGCCGAGCAAAGTGCCATTGCGGAGACAGGTAGTGCTGTGGAAAGTGCTTGTGAACTTTGATGATTTCTGATCACCCTCATCGGAGTCAAGCTTAGGGAATGACAGGGATTTGATATTGCTCACTGAAGTGATGGGGGAAAGGGACACTTTGGAAGACAAGGACATCTTTTCACAGTTTCCCAACTGTGGTAAAGTGATAAAGCCATTTGGTTTGTGAAGGGGTTTGAAGTCCAACGTGGCCTTTTCTATGGATGCCAGAACTTCCTCATCTTGCAACACAGACTCAGACCCTCCTTTAGGCAATGTATTATCTAACAGCTGGGCAACAATTGGCCCAGTAGTACCAACATGAATTTCAAGGATATTTTTTAATTCCTCCTTATCATCTATAGTTTTTAATTCCAGTTTGTCAAAAGGGTCTTCTTCACATTCAAAATCAGCTGGGTTGAAATCTGCCTTTGGGTGAGGTGGACTGAGGACCTTTTGCTTCACAGAGCTCGTGTTGGCTGGGGTAGGAGTCAGAATATTATTGTGCTGCAGGCTAGCAAGGATGGGGTTAATAGGAGGAGGCATGGCTTCAGGGCAAGGTCCCTCTGAGAACCCCATCTTGGTGTTGTCCTCTGGAGCTGCTTTTGAGTTTGCTAGAGCTTCTTCTGCCTTGTGCTCAGCTTGTCTCTGGGCAGCCTGAATTTTTTTGATGTCTTCAGCCCACTCGATTGTTTTCTTTTCCAGTGAGAAGTCATACTGAATGGACATGAAGAGAAAAGAAGGGGAAAAAAAAAAAAAAAAAGATAAGTTATAAGGATCATAGCTGCTACTTCTAACAGCAACATAAATTAATGCAAAGAGAATAAGAACTACATGAATTACCAGGAACAGCAATTTGTCAATCTGCAGGTTGTGAAAAAGCTGGCAGACACTAGAAGTACTTCATTTTGTCACTAACAGTAAAATCTGGCTACAACCTGGATTAAAATACTGTATTTTGCCTCCTTCCTACACTTAGCTTTGCTTTAGCACTACTCATCATCCTAAGATCAGTTTCACAGCCCTCCTGCCCTCTTCCCTCAGGACAAGGGAGATAGCAAGGAGAAGTCTGGAGTAGTTATTAGATGAAAAATCACACCCTGGTCTGGCACCACTGAACCATCCCCAGCCCGCAAGTTCTACAAATCATTCAGCAGAGTTTTGCATCCAAAGGCCAATACAGTATTACTCAGTGTCCCCTAAAAGATTCCTAGGGGACTGGATACTAGAGTTCTACACCCATTGGTTTAAGGCAGTATTTTCATTCCCACTCCAGTGCAATGCTTCACCAGCCAAAGGAGATACAGCGGCTGCACCAACGACAACATATACAGGCAGCAGCAAATTTTGCTGTAGTTACAGATGTGACAGGACCTCAAAAGCTTTTTCCACTTGACATCAGGTCCTTTATAGCCAGATCTGCACAAGAAGCCATCTACTCAATACCAATGTAATGACCACAGAGCGGCTTAGTTGTAAAGGGCAAAATTATGCATCTTTAAATATCCACATTTTTTTAATACTAAAAATATGGGCAGGAAGCTATATTTCTTGCACTTTATTTTAAACAGCGCTCATTACAGCTATAAAAAGAGTCAAATTCCATTGTGAGATGCACAGTCCACACTATGCAGGGTGTTGCAGTCTGAACAGACACACTATGCTGGCTGAGCCCCAGTTTGGCAGAAAAATGGAGACACAGCACAATTAAGCCAGCAACAGGACATCAGCATCTTCTTTGGCTCTCCCACACCAGTTTAACTGAGTGGAAATATGGGTACTAGGAAAGTCAGGTAATTGCTTAATAGTTATGAGGGAAAAGCGATGAAGTAGGATAACAGGGTAAGATGTAGGCAGGGAGAGAACAAAAACAGCAAAAGAAAAGCAGAATCACCTACAGCAATATGTCACAAACAAAGTAAAAGCAATCATCAGTTAGGACTGGTCAAGGAAAATCATGGATCCAAATGAGAAAGCATAATTCAATTAGACATCCTGTATCACAACCTGCATTTGGAGATTAGATTTTAAACAGTTGTGCTAAAGCAATTGATTTCATGCTACTAACAATTTATTTTATCAGAAACACGCTCCTCAAGACAGGGAAGCCATCCGTGTACAAAGCTGTAACCTGTTTGTCCCACAGCTTGGAAAGAACACTCACTCAGAACTACCCAGAAAATAAGAACTGAAAAGTATGTTATTGCCTGGGTGTAACAGTTCTTAGAATTTATACTGTCAAAAACTATAGTCAAATTTTGTCAAGGTAACATTCAGAACTAACTACAACCACACAAAACCACTGTGCTTCTTTGAAGCAGATAGACTAAACCAAATGCTTAAAAAATAAAAGCCCAATGGCTTTTTAAGGCAATAAAAATTAGACACTTTCTGCATGCTCCATTGTATTTTACTTTTCTATATAGCCCAGTGGATCATCTAGAAATACGAGACTGTCCGTGTGCAAACTGTGATAACTTAGAATGTACAGCACCACAAGCTGGGGCCATGGGTGAGGGGAGAGAGAGCAGGAAGGCAAAATATCACTTACCTGGGCTTCTCTGACAAGCTGAGAAGAATCAGATAGACAGAAACCAATGGGTAATCCAACCTTTGCTGGGGTTTTGAACTTGTCTCCTATCTTAAATGGGACATCATCAAGGTAACTGAAAGGCCCTGAAACCAGAAGCAGGAATTGTATTGAGAAAAAAACCCCACAACTCAAATTTCACACTTTCAGCTCAGGCTCACACTGCTGTGTTTGGGACCTATTTTATCTCCATTGCAGCATCTACACCAGATAACAACACAAATGGAATTTAAAGCTGTTTGGACCTCAGTGTCTCTTAGTTTAGTAGGTTTGGTCAGAGTTTGTTTAATTCCTAAATCCTAGCCCATAACTGTTAAGGAAAAAAAAAAAAATTAAAAAAATAAAGGCAAACACTCTCGTAACCACAATCCACCAGATTTTGACACCAATGCAACCAGCATCTTAGTTTCCTTTATGACAACACTATTCCTACACAACTGGATGCTGAAGCTCTCCTGAACAATGCATTCTATCTCTATAAAAAGATCCATCATTTTTTGTCATATTCAAAGCAGATTTTAAAATTATTCAGCTTCAGCACAACTAAGACAAACTACAATCCAGGTTTTGACATACAAGTAGTAAGCAGTATTTGGACAGAAGTGGTCATAAATGCAAAGCAATGAAACAAAGCCATTCCACTTTAATCAAAACACAGTGAAATACTAAGACTATTAATACAGCAACTATTTTTTAAAACAAGGCAATCTAATTTTATCAGGTCCTACATCTGTTATTTTTTTCTAGGATGACACTTCTGCAAATTCACAACAAAAAAAAACCCACTTAGAATTCAACCACCTCCAAGCAGCCAGAGTATTAGTGTGTTTTCCTTGAGCAACTGTGAAGAAGTATGAGAAAACCCAAAATACAAACTAAACAGCTTTTCCATTAACTGAAAGTGGCCTCTTGGATGACTGGTCTAAGCTTTTGGGATCACAGGCAAGGTTTCTGGCATGTGCAACAATCAGAGGAGTGACTCTAGGCCTTACTTGTAGCTTCTTCCTGAGTGACACAGATGCAGAAAGACATTAGTGGCAACATCTAAGATGGTGTTCAGTGACCAAGCCCCCCTCACTCAGTGAACTGTGACTTGCTGTTTTTATCTGACCCATTTTCATACTCAGATGGCAGTGTAAGTACTGTTTATGTTCCCTCACTGTTGATTCATCTACAAGGCAGGCACACACTCCCAGAGGCTGAGCAGCTTTCATAAACAAGAACATCCTGTCAATTTGCAATTAAAGGCTTATATGCTGTCATTACTTGAGCTCTCATACTATGCACATACTGGGTGGTCACAGAGTCCTGTTAGGACACTTTGAAACGATTAGAATGAACAACCTACATCCCCATCTGCATCTCTAGGATGAAAAAAAATGTTCCAGGTAGAACATGACAGTATTTTCAGTGATCTTTACTGGGAATCATATATCCAAGCACTGCACAGCATCCAGACAGCACCTCACTTGGCCAACACGACCACTCTTTGCAACACAGCATCCAAGCTGTACTTGAGCTGACAACTTGAGAGCCTGATACGCCAAAGCATTTGCTTATAGAGCAATAACAACTGTAGCAGCCTCTGCAGCAGGGTGGTAAATCATGGCCAGGTCAGAGACAACCTGCCAACTGCTGCTACCACGGCCTATTAGTCCCACTGGCTGCTCTACACCAGACGATCCAAGTGCAGCAAGATTACCTCTCCACATGGATCTCCCAGCCCAAATCGCTCAGCCTGTAAATCTTTGTCTTATTAGACCTATTTACAATATGTAGTGGGCACTTCCCCCTGCACAACTATACCTGAAGTAGATACCAGCCACAGAGGGTGCAAGTACAAACTTTGCTGTTTACATACCAGCATTCCTGTTTTGCACAGTAAATAAAAAATACTAAGCATGCCTAGACTAGCTATACTGAGCTGCCAGCTTAACCTCAGAAGCTTGACTAAGGAATAAAAACTTCCTAGTTTGTTCCCCAGTATACTGATTTTTTTAAAAACAACCCTTGCTATAATCTCATCCTAAGTATAACTATGAGAAAAAGCCCATAAGCACATATTAAAAACATCTCAAATAGTTTAGGACATTTGATGGCAAAAAGTCTGAGGCAAAACACCTATACACATAGAATTCAATCCAATCAGAACAGTAATAGCTTGGTAAAGCCAAAATCTTATCCAGAGAGCTAAGAATCCTTTTCTTTCTGTGAGCAGATCACAGTGCACACGCTGAGGAGTAAAGGGTGCAAATTATTTTAATGCCACATTCTAGAGCAGTAAGATAAACCTGTAAAAAAAGGTATTATGAAACATATTGTTACAAAAGCCACACATTCAAGTGAAACAACTTAAGTTTTTACCAAACTCTTATTCAATAAGTCTGTTAGCCACTTTATCCTTGTATAAGTTAAAAGCATATTGAGTAATTTCTGAAAATAAACATGACAAAAGTGTACTTGTCTGCTCAGTCTCTGTACTACATTTCTGGCACAACAAACTACTAAAAGTCTCCACTTCAGCATAACTCAAAGAAGTGTTCGGGGTTTGGCACCAAAATGGAAACACTTCAGGAAAAAAAAAAAAAAAAACAAACAACCCAAAACAGCCAAAACAGTTATCAGGCATAGAGACTGTTTTTAGACATAGAAGCAACTGCTGAATAGCTGGCAATTACCAAATGAAAAAATCAGTTGTCTTGCAGCAGGGGCAGTGAGCCACAGCAAAGACTGAGACCATCTAGAAATGAAGTTTTGATACACTATTTCTATTAATCCTTAACCCAGTATTTAAGTGAGACATTTCTTATTTTTTACTTCAACTTTACACTTGCAAGACTGAATAAAAAGCTGCAGGAAAAAACTGAATTCCCCAGGACCCTTTTATTAGAAAAATTATCCAGAAAGATCAAGTTTGAATTTCTGAAAGCATTAGTTATGATAGCCTGAAAAGTAATGATTACTGATTTGAGGAAGCCACATTACATACAACAAACTGAACTTTAATGTTCCACGGCAACATCAATTACACTCAAATTACACCCCATTTTCTAAAAAATAAGGACATGACAGGCAAATAACTTTGATGATACCAATCACCTGCATGACTTTATGCAGAAGACAGAAAAATAGTGTCTTTTCTTCATCTGCCTTCTGAACTAAGTTTGTCCAATTAAGGAGAGAAATTCATGGCTGAGCAAAAATGAAGCACAATTCAATGTTGTATTAAAAGTTTCACTTACAATTCAAATTCTCATGTGGCTTCTATAGGAAGATGCTACAGATCTAGAGCCCATGTCAGCAAACACCAGAGTTCAGCTTTGAAGGGGAATTTGTTGGGGAAGAAGAATGTGTTATTCTGCCACAAAGGAACAGGGAACAGTCAGAGACTGATTTTTAGTTTAATCAGAGAACAGGCAAACACAGCATGAGGAGGCAACTATGCAAGAAGGAAGCCAAAGCACTTCATTCCTAACAATAAACTTCTCAGAAGCTGAACAGATTAGTCTCTATGGACTGTCTAGATTAGGACATTAGTCAGCAGCAAGAGTAGGATTTATCCTATTGAAAAGACAAGGATGCTAAATTTCACTTACCATGAGAGTCGGATCCCAACTTCTTAGAAGCCATCTAGAACCTGAAAAACATTTTAAAACAGCTTGAACAACTTTGTATATGTAGAACAGGGTGAGTCTAAGCAGTTCCAGTGTCTTATTTCTAGGTTATGGAACACATTGCAGACACCTGATGTGCCTGTTCCCAAGACAGATAAGCAAACATATTTTTTAGCCTTGAAACTAATTGAGCAGACAAATAACTTAGAACAGGGTCTGTCAATTGAAGCAGTAATATAAAGAAAAAAAGAAAGCCCCAACCAAAACAGCAAACAGCCAAGACACAACCAGGGTGAACAGGAAGACAGAGAGTTACAGATCACAGCACACAGAGGCCACTCTGTCTCAGCCTCATTAAGCACTCCCTGCCTCCCTTGGCATTAAGAATAGCTCTTCCTACTGGAAATACCACACTGATCCTCTTCAGTTTAATCCCTGCTGCTCTAAAAAAGGGATACTACTGTACTGGGTACACAGCCAGTTAGCCAGCATGGCACTCACCTAGACACACTGGGCAATGCATAAAACAGGTGTAAAATAAATGGTACCATGAGAAAGATATGTTGGATACACACAAGAAATCTATGAAAACAGGCTCCATCCACTGCCCACAGCATTTAGCAGCAACTTTTAAAATATGGATGCAACTCCTATATGGCCAAGATGTTAAACACAGAAGTGGCTAGCCAGCTTTTAACAGAGAGTAGATCTGGCTCACCAAAAGAGGTGTTCAAGATAGATTAGCTGTCAGCTACAATTCTGTTCCAGGATGCTTATGGTATACTCAATAACATGGGGGTTTTGCTAGATTAGAAGTACATTACAAGGTACTGCAGCATAACCGCTAGAGTAATTGAATTTATTTTTAAGTGTTCCTTGTAACATTATGTGTGACAGAGACTCAGAGATGCCCTTTGTCTCTGAAGTTCTCCATCTCAGACTGAAATAGCTGTTCTTCAAAACAGCTGTTCTTCAAAACCATTGAGACCTCTGGTACATCCCCACAGGCAGCAGAGCACAACAACATGGGGCAGATCTAATATTCAAGCCCATCATTCCTCCTGTCAAGGGCTCTTGTGCTCACTGTTTCTATTGCAGATTCCAACTGCAAACATTACATATTAAAGGAAGGTGAGGATTACACAGTTTACCTATTTCCTCCTTGCTGCTGCTGACAGGACTGGGGACAAGAAGAGCCAGTTTCAAGTGCTCTAGGACAGTCCCTTTTACAGTGCAAAGATCCCTTTCAACATTATGTTGAAATCAACAAGTGAACCGTCCCTAGCTAAAGGGAAACCTACACAAAAGCCAAAGCTGTACTAAGATCACCCACGTGCAACCAGACTTTGTGAAACACAGTGGGCAGATGCTGGCCCATGGGGAAGTGAGTCATGCAGGGCAAGTCCAGGTGCATGCTGCACAAAAAAAACTGTGCGTCATCTTGCCCAATGTTTGTCAGGTTCTTTTCAGAATTACCAACCTCTCTCAGCAGTGCTATTATGTCTGAAACTATTCCACTAAGCCAGAAACTGGCACCTTGTTCTCAGAAACAAACAAAACATTAAGGCCTCAAAAACAGAAATAAAAGGTGGTGAAACAGTGCCAAGCCTGCCATCCAAGGAAGGATGTCAAGGGCAAAGCCACCAGACTACCCAGCAGAGCTGCATGTCAACCACTGGAGCTGAACAAGCCTTACCGGTCCCAGTGCCCAGACTGCAGACAACAGCACATGAAATAGCTACACTTTCAGACCCAGGTTTCACTGCCAGACAAGCTGTTGTGTTGGTAGTTCCTCTGTGTGAGAGTAGCAATTAGGTCAAATACTGGATTTGTTTTTAGTAAAAAAGCCAGGTGACACGTAATTCATACAGCCCTCACACCCTCAACCAGTCCCCTGCTTGTCACTGAAGACTGCATGGCACTGTGCGCAAGCACTGCCCGCTCTCCACTTAACCTGGACAAGACCTCCACACACTTCATTTAGTTTCTCAAAAGAGAAATGAAGACTAAAAAGGAATTCCTTTATTTTTTAGAGGATTCCAAAAACTTCTGATTAGAGAAAGTAACCTCCTCACTTTGCCAACTTCAGTTGATAAGGGTGTTTGCTCAAGGCAGGACCAGTTACTATCAGTTACTGCTCCAGGGACACAAATGGCAATGCATATAAATCCCACCAAGCCAAAACTGCACATCCCGCTTCCAAGGAAGCTGCAGATATGCAGTAGCCTATGACTCCGGAACTGCATCAAGTCTCAGTGTCATCCCACATAAGATATATGTATCTTGCTTTTGCTGACAATCTGATAGTAAAATCCTAATGCTGACCTGGTGTTTGCATTAACTTCAAGATGCAGTGGAAAAATAATTCCTCTGCCATATGCAACAGCTTAATTAACCACAGAACTAGCCAAGGCACATCAGCAGCAAGCTAGTCATAAAATGGGTCATTTCAAGAGCCAGTCACTTTAGATTCACATAGCATTTGAGTTTATATCACACAGGTCTTGCTGATGCACTGTGAGTGTGCACTTTTAAAGACAACATTACTTCAGAAGGCATTTGTCAGCAAACAAAACTGTTAAGCACTATGCACAGTAACACAAGAACAGGCTGCCAGCCACATTTCATCACCCTCTTCCCAAAGAAGGTATAATTAAAATAATGTCTTATGACTAATCAGATTTGACAGGCTAGTCAGGGACCACTGTTATAAGCATATTGCTGTTGTTCTGTTGTCAAGCTGGGAAAAAAGTTTTTGTATCCAGTTAGGTGGTTACTCAGTTGTTGTTATTATTCTGGGCATTATCGGAAAATTAATTACAATGTGCAGTAAACCACGTTGGATTGCTTCCAAAGCTTTACTCCAAATCAGATGATGGACAAGTGCAGCTCTATCACTACTTGCTTTGGTCTCCAGAACAAGATGCTGAAGGGCACTGGTGGTAACAGCACATGGTAGAGTGGATTTTGGCCTGATACCTTACTGCACATTGTAAACTGACAGAGGACAAAAAAACTTATTCAACACCTTTCCTCCTCTAGGGGAACCAGTTAGTTCCATAGTACTACAGGATGCTCTTACAGCCACTTACAAGCTCTCTTCTGTAAATGTAAACCTCCCCAGCTTCACTCCCTCATTCTTGGTTCCGGACAAATGGAAAAGGTCAGCGCTGCAATACCTCAAAATTATAAAGAACTGAAGCAACCTGGTGTGAACTCTTCTCTACCAATCTGTATCATTTTTTCTGTAGTAACACTGAGGCAGCAGGTCAGGATTCATAAAACCAGCCAGGCAGAGTAACACAGCATAGCAAGAGCCCAGGATGAGGGCAGAGGATCTCAGAGCAATCATGACAGAAGGTGAGGGGGAACAGGAAACAACCACAACAAACAACTACACAAAGATTCAGAAACAGAACTGGCAAGGCAAAACTGATGACAGCAACAATTGGCACAAAGAGGTGACAAGCTGGAATGGCTTGAAGAGACAGAGGTGACCCAGCCAATTCACTGGGCACGTCATCACTTAAACCTGAATGGCATTTAGTTGTGCTGCCAGACAAGGACTACACAGAAAAACATGACTTGGTGCAAGAAGGCAATGCCAAAGGGAAAATCTCATCAACAGAAGATAACAAAAAAATTATTACAAAGAGCAACTCATGAAGAGCTTCTGGGAAGTTGGGGTGGTTTTTTGCTAGTATTTCAATGTTTCTTCTACTTTCTCTTGCGTTTATATCTTCATTCCTTTTCTTCTGTAAGAGCTCTGACTAGACAAGTTGGAAGTATCCTCCCACTAATGATACCTGTAATTGCTTTATTCATGATAACTTAAACCAATTTAACTATTTGGCAATAAGAACTGAATTCTTGCTGCTATATTCCTGAGTTTGGGGTGCAAACAAACCATGTGTATTCTCTGAAGTAATGTCCACCTAAAATTCAGAGAAATGAAAAATTAATAACTTATGGGTGAAAGAAAACTTGAGAATGCTTCAAGTTATCAACCATAATCAAATCAGCACATCTATGATTTTCAGAGAAAGAGACCTGATCTTGCAATTTCCATTGCACCTGCTAATATACATTGTGTAGTCTACACACTACTAAGGATGCACCATTCAGCCAGAAAACTACAAAAACAAAAGGCTGAAAAAGTAAAAAAAACCTTCCTGCCTATGTTACATTAATGAACTACTGATTTTAGAGTAAAGAAAAAAGTAAAAATTACTTTGTTTCAAGAGATTGACTTCTAATGATAACAGGTGCTCAAAATTTAGGCAGTGCTTTCAGTTTTCACTGTACCTACTTGTTTCAGCGCAAGTCAAGGGCTATAACCAACATCAGGACTCTATATATAGCTTCAAACAGCAAAAATAGAAGTCAACGGTGCCCGTTGCTAAGACAAACAAAAGCTCTCATCAAAACTTCCTATCTATGTAAGTGTTCAACCACTGCAACTCAGCTCAGATCTCTTATGACCTCTCTCAGCAAAAAGCTGCTCAGTTCATTACAGTACAAAACAGATTTCATGCTTTTACTGCAGTATCCAAATACATTACATCACCCCAAAACCTGCAGCAATCGCTTCTGCTTTGTACCTCTAAGAGTTCTGCAAACAAGAGCACATGGAGGTACTCCCCTTGCAATAAAGGACAAGCACTGCTAACAGCTCTCTGGATAAAGCTGTAAAATTACATGTGATGTAATGCAACTGCATGCCCGCAACACTCCCCTGTGCCTCCTCCACCAAAAAAAAAAACAAAAAAAAAAAAAAAACAAAACAAAACAAAAAAAAAACCAACAAAAAAAACAACCAAAACCAACCAAACAAACAAATCAAGCAAAACAGCTATAAAAAAACAAAACCAAAAACTAAAGCAAAGAAACCCAAGACCCCCAAACCAAAAACTCACAAAAAAAAAAAGACGAAAAATCATCTCTTTCACCAGTCTTAACAGAAAAGTAACTTTTAAATTGATCTATAGTAATTCCTCTTAAGTGCTACCACAATCCAGGAGAT